TGGGACTGGGAATGTGAAGGTTTGGGACTGGGAATGTGAAGGTTTGGGACTGGGAAGTGACTGGGAATGTGAAGGTTTGGGACTGGGAATGCAGAGGTTTGGGGCTGGGAATTGAGAGGTTTGGGGCTGGGAATGGAGAGGTTTGGGGCTGGGCATGCAGAGGTTTGGGGCTGGGAATGGAGAGGTTTGGGGCTGGGCATGCAGAGGTTTGGGCCTGGGAATTGAGAGGTTTAGAACTGGGAATTTGGAGGTTTGGGGCTGGGAATTGAGAGGTTTGGGCCTGGGAATTGAGAGGTTTAGAACTGGGAATTTGGAGGTTTGGGGCTGGGAATTGAGAGGTTTGGGGCTGGGAATGGAGAGGTTTGGGGCTGAGAATGGAGAGGTTTGGGGCTGGGAATGGAGAGGTTTAGAACTGGGAATTGAGAAGTTTGGGGCTGGGAATGGAGAGGTTTGGGGCTGGGCATGCAGAGGTTTGGGGCTGGGAATGGAGAGGTTTCCTCCCAAGGTCACGGCGCTGGCAGCGGCCGCGCAGCTCCTGAGTCACGGTCATGTGCTGGAGCTGCGGGTCCAGTTCTCCTCCTCGTGTGTAACTTCAGTAAATATAGACCCAGCAGCCTTCCCTGAGCCGGGAGGATTCGGGAATCTGCCACAGGGATTAACCCCTCCCCAGCCAAGCCGGCACAGAGCTCAGCAAGTGACACTTTTCTGCCCGGAGCTAAAAGGGTTTTGTTCCCAAAAGATTTTTCCAGAGGCAGAGCTGGGTGACTCAGCTCTTTTGAGCCTGATGTGTGTACTTTGCCTGTTTATTCCCAGGACAGGCAGTCCCAAGGGAATCATGTTACGCTGCAGGCTCAGTGTTTATTAACCAGCTCGGGCCTGAGCTAAGAATAACTTTTTTCAGTTGTTTTGTTGATAGTGATTATTTTTCCTTGCTTAGCACAGGCAGCAGCTTGAGGTGGAAACAGTCCAGAGAAAGGATTTTCCCAGCAAGTTGTGGGAATACATAAACACTCAGCTATTATCACCTTCCTCTCCTGAGCAGCCACAGCTGAAACATAAAATCAGGAAGGTGAGAGCTTTAAGGGAAGCAGATTGCTCTGTCTTGAAGTGGAGCAGCTCAGCAGCGCTCTGTCCTCTCCCAGAGTTGTTTGAACTTCAGGGATTCAATCCAGCCTTTAGATGCTTCAGAACCAACATTTGTCTGCAGAGCAGTACTTGCTTCCCCGCCTTCCCCTCTCTGGGGGTTTATTTAGGGGATTTTTGGAGCATTTCCTCACTGATCTCTTCATTCCCTCAGTCCAGCCCCGGTGCACGAGCCCTGTGTGGCTGCACGTGACCACGTCACTTTCTGTACCCATTTAGCTGCTTGGCACAGAAAAAAGTCCTTTGGCAGATGAATAGATGCAATGCTTTAATCAGCTGATGTGTATGAAAAGCAGCAGAGTGCTGTGATTTATTCTGTTGGATCTTTGATAGTTTATTTAGGCTTCCACAGCCAATGTGAAGTTAATACCTGCAGAAATTTGTAAACCACTTTTCCCTCCCTTTTCTTCCCCCTATTATGGTTTTAACACAAATACCTGTTAAGGCAATGTCCCTCTGATTGGAAACATGTGGAGCAGAGGCATTTACTGTTGTGCAATAGTTGTAAAACCTACTTACTTAGCTGATGTTTGTGGTCTTCAGTGGGATTTGTATTGCACTTGTTCCTTACTTGTGACCTCGCACCCGTGGGGGTCATCTGTCCAAAACTGCCATGGTTGATGACACCTTTGTAGCAGAAACCCTTCTCTGGCCTCTAGTTAAGCCTTTGTATGTTTTTTCCTTTATTTATAACTTCATGCTGTGCTCATTCTGGTAGGATTTAAATACTACAGCAAGTTTAACCCTGGATTTTGTCACAGTGTCACAAGTGACATGTTACCATGAAGTGCCTTTGGCACTGTGTTTCTAAATACCTGTTTTATAGTTTTCCTGCTAAAACTCAGAGGATTTTTAGGCTAAGTAACAGCTGTGCTCCCTTTCTCTCACATCTCCTTTGGCCTGGGTGATTAAAAGAAAACAGGGGCTGTTTTGGAGGTGGGTACAGATTTTGGGGCAGCATCAGGTACCTGACTTACCTTTGGGAGTCATATCAGAGCTCTGCTCTGTCACATGCAGTTTAAGCCTGAAGAAAATGTTTTCCTGAGCCTAAAGATGGGGAAGAATAGTAGGTATTTTCTTCTCTTGTTGCTGAGGTGCTGTGGGAGCAGCAGTTTGGGATGAGGTCTCATCTCCTGAGATGTGGAGTTGGAGGCACAAGGAGCCAGTGATCAACTGGTGCATTTATTGGTATTATTTGTTTATAATATTTCCCAACACAGTCACCTATGCTGTGTGCTCACTGCTGGCTGGTGGGAGAGATACAAGGGAGAATGGCTTTAAATTAAAAGAGAGTAGGTCTAGGCTGGATATTAGGAGGAAATCCTTCCCTGGGAGGGTGGGCAGGCCCTGGCACAGGTGCCCAGAGCAGCTGTGGCTGCCCCTGGATCCCTGGAGGTGCCCAAGGCCAGGCTGGACAGGGCTTGGAGCAGCCTGGGACAGTGGAAGGTGACCCTGCCATGGCAGGGGTGGGACTGCATGAGGATGATTAAAATCCAACCCAAACCCTTCCATGATTCCATGATAGGAACAGCAGCATCTGACCTGTGGAAGCAGCCTCAGTCTCATATTGGGCAGAAATCCCAGATGCAGAAAGTCAGCAGCAGGATGCTACAAAGGCAGGACAGCTTCTGCAGGTTGTGGGTGAAAAGAGTTTCCTCACTTCTCCTTAGCTTTGGGTTATTAATTCTGGAATGACACTGATTCCAGCAGAATCACTCCTCAAGTAAAAGGGGAAAAGAGTTGATGCTGCATCTGACATCTCAAAAAAAAAAATAGAAGGCTTCTTTCCATTTAGTTATTTACGTTAATTAGGTTTTGGCAGTGGTGAAAAGGGAGGGAAGGGCTGGCTGGAGTGGATTGGATCAGGGAGCTCCTGGAGAGGAGGGACAGAGCAAACCTGCCCTGCCCACCCCTCAGAGGATGCTTCTGCCATCAGGAGCTGAGCAAAGCATTTAATTGCTCTTGAACCAGAGGCTGTGCTGCTGTGTTGGTATAAGCTCCTCCAGAACAGCACTGTCCAGCTAAATACCCTGCCCAGTGTGTTTGGTGTCCTGGATCACAGTAAAGACATGGTGATGTACTTGGACACACACATTTTATCATCATTTTGACCCAAAAAGCTGTGAAAATGAGGCAGAAGCTAACAGAAGGTCCTGCCTAGTTAAGTTGTGTGGAAGGAGCAGTGTCCTCACATGTCTGTGGAGTCATGTCCAAGTTTTGCTTTTTAAAAAGCAGTTCCAGTGTGGTCCCAGAGTAGGAACAGAAGGTGTTGTAGCAGTTGGGTTTTGGGATGGGGCTGTTTTTGGGCTGTGCTTATTCCCCTCATCCCCTCTACCATGTTCATTTGTTTTATTTGTTGTATTTTTCCTTTTTTTCTTCTTGACACCAGGGAATTCCTGGTTGGATTGTTTCTGAACTATATTTCCATTTACCTTGTGCTGCACTTTAATCAGCAGGTGATTAATCCAGCGATGGGAAAGCAGAAAAAAAGAGACAATGCAAACTGTACCCCTGTGCTGGCTCTTCTGGGGCATCTCCAGTCCTGGGGCAGCTCTGGGAGCCTCAGGACAGGAAGGACCTGGAGAGGCTGGAGCGTGTCAGGGAAGGGAATGGAGCTGAAAGGGGGCTGGAGCACCAGGAGGGGCTGAGGGAGCTGGGAAGGGGCTCAGCTGGAGAAAAGGAGGCTCAGGGGGACCCTTCTGGCTCTGCACAGCTCCTGACAGGAGGGGACAGCCTGGGGGATCAGGCTCTGCTCCCAGGGAACAGGGACAGGAGGAGAGGGAACAGCCTCAAAGTTACATTGGATATTGGGAAAATTCCTGCATGGAAAGGGTTGTCCAGCCTGGCCACAGACTGTCCAGGGCAGTGGTGGGGTCCCCATCCCTGGGTGGGGGTTTAGAAGATATGTAGCTGTGGCCCTTGGGGACATGGTTTAGTGGTGGCCTTGCCAGTGCTGGGGAACAGTTGGACTTGAAGATCTCAGAGAGATTTTCCAACATTACCGATTCCACAATCCTATGGTTCTTGAGAGCAAAGACTGTGGCAGGCTGGTGACTGGTTTTTGTGCCATTACAATAATAAATAATTTTTAAAAATAATAATGTAAATTATAATGGTATTTTTCAAAAAGAATAAGGAAAAAGGCACTCTGAAAAGTTATTTCTAAATGTCTCGTTAAAATGCGTCATCGGCGGAGCTCCAGAGCTCCAGTTTATTGTTACTTTGGGCAAATAACACTTGGGGAGAGCATCTGGTGGGATAAATTGTTATAGCCCATGGAAATGGGTGGAAGTAGGAAAAATGTGCAGAGCCTGTAGCCACGGCCTGCCTTCCATCTGGGATGATTTTGGGCTGTTCCATTGCATTGCAAATGCTTTAATGCAGCAGCAGCTTCTGTTAAACACACTCAAGGTTGTTTCTTGCTGTTTGCCTGATTTTGGAGGATTTACTGGCATTGTCTGCAGGTCTGGCTTTCCTTGGAAGCTGGTTCAGGGGAGGCTTTTGGAAACAGTTGACAAGGCCTTTGGACACTGTGTCATGTGCCTCCTGGGTTGTTTTCCACTGCAGCACTTGGGGAGCTCAGGTGATAAACAGTAGCAAACTGACTTATAAAATAGTAGTAAACTCTGACTAATAATTACTAATGGAGCTGTTACTAGTGGAGCTGTTAGTGGAGCTACAAGCTGCTCCCAGGAGAGGCAGTGTTGATGAATTGGTCCTCAACAGAGATGGTTTTTCTGTTGCAATCTTTTCGTCTTTATCTCCGTGTCAGTCCCTCCAGTTGATAACACGTTCTGTTCCTGGTTTGGGGATGAATGATTGGATCCACTCACTTTGCTTCTCTTGTTCCCTGGCAGGCTCCTTATCCCTCAGGACAGAATGCAGCTGCCACCACGCTGGTGTACCCTCAAGCCCCTCAGACAATGAACACGCAGCCTCAGACCCGCTCGCCGGTAAGGAGCCCGCGCTGCCTCCCCGCTGCTCTCTCCTCCTCACTCGTGTGTTTCTCTGTCTGTGTGTGTCTGTAGCACGGGGCTGCTTCTCTGCAAAGCCCATTTTACTGACCTGGAAGCACATCCTGAATGGCAAACCTTGAGTTTTTCAGACACTATCCTGGTAGGATAATTTTCCTTCTGAAGTTCCTAAAGAAGCGATGGAGGGATTCTCATCTACCTTCAAATAACACTATTTATTTTTAGCCTAGTTGCTTTCAGGTTCACTTCATTATAGAGTTCAGGTTCATTGCCAGAATCTTTCTCTTCTTTTTTTTTTCCTTTTTATTTTTTCTTTAAGGATGTGTTTTGTGCAGGGATAGACCAAAGATCAAACACAAGCAGTTCTCTGCAGCAGCGCTCGCTCTCCAGTGGCCTCTGGGCTTTGCTCCCAAATCAGTGCCACCGATCAGTTCTAACCCTGGAGGTGCTCACATGTAACCTGGAGCTTCTGTGTACTCAGATCTTTCTGTGCTGAGCCCCTTTTTCATCCGACTTCAGGTTTGATCATCCTTCACAGTCTGTTTTTTTGGGGATGGATGTTTATTGTGATACTGCTCTGCTGTTGTAGGACTTCAGTTCCCCATACCAGGTACTTTCTGGGTATTCTCTGCTTGTGGCACAGCTCCACATGATGTCAGAAGACCCTCCTAGGGCATCAGAGGCTTTGCCCAGCTTCTGGAGGCATGGTGGCTTCCCATCACCCCATCTCAGGGCTCCATCAGCTGAGGGAGCAGCAATCCTGCACCTCCTGCCCCTCCGTGTCAGGACACCTTCAGGTTGCCCATAACCCCCTGGTGCCTTCCCAGCACTCTTCTCTCTTTAGGGTAAGGTGAAAGCTCCTGGAGGAAAATGAAGCCTCTGAGACAGAGGAGCCTGTCTACAAAGCAGGTATAAATGCAGATAAACCCAGGGCAAGGATCCCCAAACCTGCATCATCACTGGGGCACTTGCCCAGCTCTGGAGGTTTCCCCTCCAGGACCTGCCAGGGTTTGTTCTGAGACCCCTCAACCTCTGCTGATGAAGGAGCCAGGTAATGCTGACTTTGAAGTTCTTTGATGTGGACAGCTGGGAATTTGTCCTTAGTGCCCCATTCTGATCAGTAATGCAGGACACTGCTGCTAAAGCTCTTCCCTCAGTAAGTATAATCATCTTTCTCTTTAATTGTTGCAAAGCACAACTAAGCTGCTATGGTTAGAACTGGAGCAAAAACTTGACTGAAGAGCTGCATCTCTAAACCAGTTTTTTTGACAGCCCAGCAGAACAGTGCCAATACATTGCACAGAAAACTGGAAGAGGAGGAAGGTTTTGGAACAGAGTCCGGTTTACAGGTCCCTGGCTGGAAGAGGCTGGATAAAATACTGCATTGTAAGCAATATAACAAACTGTACTCCTTCTTGCAGGCACTTGTGCCCATGGCACCGTTTTTATTTCTTCTTCCTTTCTTTATTATATATATTTTTTTTACCACATCCTTTTTTTGTTGGCTACAGAAATGCACTGGTTTTGCTTCTTTGCTGAAAGCACGAGCTGCCGTGGCAGCCTCTGCCAGGTGAGGTGGTGCCACAAGGGCCCAAAGCTGAATTACAGCTGGGGGGTCTGACCTGGGGTAGGACAGAGACCAAGGCCCCCTGGGCTTTGTCACTCAACAGAGAGAGAATCTGCAGGAAATTTGGCCAGTAAATGTCAAATTTTTAGGGTTTTGGCCCCATAACTGAGGAGGTCCCGAGGAAGAATTTTTCTGCACCTGTCAGCCTTGTTTGGATTGTTCTGAGCTCTCCTGTGTGCAGGTTTTGCCATGTGCTCTGCTAGTGCCCATCTCACCCCATGACTAAAAGCTGCTCCCACCCATCACATCTCATTCCACCTCTCACCCCAAATCAAATGCAAGACTAGCCCAGGCCTGAGCTACTCCTGCATTTGGTTCTTCGCTTGATTTATTTATTTGTAATTTAATTATTATTTTTTTCAGTTTATTTTTTAACCGTCCCATTTGGTGGTGAGGGGAGGGTGAGGAGGGGAGAGGAGGGTGGCAGGGTGGCTGTGCCATCCCTGGGTTTCTGTGGCACGGCTGAGATGGGCAGGCAGGGCTGGTGCAGCCCCTCCCTCGAGCCAGAGCTTCCTGCATCCCGCTCTGCATCCCTTTGGGAGGGCAGAGCTCAGGTGTTTGTGCTCCCCCAGGACAGCTGCCTTTGCAATCCCTGTGTGCTCCCACAGCGGGAATTGCAAAGCTCCAGCTGGGGAAGGAAAACAAAATCTGGGTCCTTCAGCACTGCTGAAAGTTCCCCATTAGCCCTTGGCCATGCCAGCCCCATCTCAACACAAAGTGTCCAATTTTAGGACTTCTGCCCAAAAAAGATAGCCTGGAGAGGATGCTGGAGCAATCCAGGAGGGGTGAGGTGTGCCAGCCCAACATCTGCAGGGAGAGAACATTCCTGTGTCCAAGGAGCAGTGGGCAGGACTGCAGGGAGAGGGAGATGGGGCAAGGTTGGACCCAGGATTTCTAAGGTTTTCCTATCTACTGTTTTCATCAAACAGAGCAAAAACAACCCAAAGTGTCTCTTTTAAGCCAGCAGTGACTACTACAGTTTGTTCTGTTGCTTACAGCTATTAACAGGAATAATTCCTATCAAACAGAATTATTTTTTAAAAATTCAAAAATCAAGAGCCAGTGGTGACCAGTGCAAAATAGATGAGGGCATTTTTCACCAGCTTGGAGCTTTTATTTTATTTCTTGTAACACACATTACTTTCCACCATGGAATAAACTTTGGCCTCTTCAGATATAAACTTCCAGCTCTTGTTTTAGGTGCAGTGAGGACAAATCTTTTCTGTGCAGCAGGGATGAGAGAGGTGCCTTGGCCCTGAAGTGCAGCAGTACAAGGTTTCTGCATCCCAACATCCTCTTTTTGGCTGTTCTCTTTCATTGGTGTCCAACACAGAACATGCAGCCCTGTGGAAAGGCTCAGCCCTTCCAGGGTACCTTTAGTCCCTTTTCCCAAACACAAGATATTCGAGCTGGTTTAGGGGAAATTCTTTGGGAAAACAAGGACTTGAAGTGCTTTTTTCTCCAGAGACTCATCCAGGTACCTCTTTCTCCTCATCCACAGAGCCACTGGGAGAATGCTGAGAGGCTCTGAGTCCTTCTGTTTTATTAAAATAGAAATTACAGCTTTTTAGTTTCACAAGGTGACCGTGCTTTGCTTTTTTACTCTTCATTGTAAGGCTTAGAGAAAATTTTCCAGGGTGAGAAAACTATTTGGTGAACCAGTGCAGGTCATTCTTTATAAACTCTTGTCCCAGGAACAGTCTGTGTGTCCATATTTACTCATTTCTGAAGGTTTTTTTGACTTTCATCCAAGTGTCACCAAGTGCCACCATGAGGTGAAGGTAGAAGGAGTGTATAAACACCAGGATTAGGAGAGTAGTTCTTGGAAATCCTTAAATCTAGGCAATTTAAGTGTTTGTAAAGGAAAGGATCAAATTGACCAGTGAATATTTATGCTTTGCTTCATGTTTGATGGCATTAGAGGAGCTGTAAGGGCTGCAAGTGAACCCAGGCCCACTTTTCCTTATAAAACAAACTTATTAAGAAAGTCACTAATTAGTACCCAGTTTTGATCACTGTTGTGAGGCAGAAGTAAACCACAGTGAGCCCCTGAGTGAGCAGAGGTGGCTGTGCTGAGCCATCACAGCAGAGGCACGTGGTGGCTAAAATCCACTATGGATGTAGTTGTGGTCACTGCAGTTAATTACTGGAGCTCTTATCAGTAGAATTCTCTGCTCTAACTGTGGAGGTCTGCTTGTTACACTGAGAATTATGGGTTTCAACACCTAACTCAGCTCTGGAAGTGGGTACCTTGTCATCTTTATTTATATTTTCCATTTCTTGCATTCATTTTTATTTCTATTTTAACAATCAGTTCCTTATTGGGAAATGCTTTTAATGTCAACTGAGCATGTTAAATTGGGGTTATTTTCCTCTGTGTGTGGCCCAAGCGAGTGGGAGATGATTCAGTGGCCTGAGCTCAGGGCTGGGACCCAGGAGCTCCTGTTCCCCATCCCGGCTGCACCGCTGCTGCCTCCAGGGGTCAGTGGGCCTTGGCTTTCAGACAGGGGGACACATCCACTCCCTACAGGGCTTTGCTGTGACCCCAGGGCAGGAGCACAGCTGCAGGGGCAGCAGCAGGGCTGGACGTGCCAGCAGTGGCTGCTCTTTGCCTCAGGGGTGTCCCTGTGGCTCCCTGGCCCTTCCCAGCCGTGGGTCTCCATCCTCTGCTCCCCCAAAGCCCCCGAGCGGCTCCGGCCCAGCTGCTCTGACCATTGACCTCCAACAGCTCCACAGTCTCACTGCTGCTCGTTTTCAGTTGGTTTTTTGGTTTCGTGTGTTCTTCCCAGGCAGGATAAGGAATGCCTGCCTCCCGGAGTGCCTTTAGGATCCCGGGCAGCGTTGGCTGTTTGTCCCAGCTCCCAGCACAGTGCCCGTAGCGATGTCCATCGTGGCACCTCAGTCCCTGTGTGTCGCTGTCCTGCAGCAAAGCTTTTGACTGTGTCGTTGTTATTTTATTTTCTGTGGGTTTATTTTGCATAGAGTGTGACATTTTGGTTCGTTGTGGTGTTTCTGACTCTTTGTGCCTTTCCTTTTGTGTTTGTTTCTCCCGCCTTTCCTCAGTTTGCAGCGGGGCCTCGACCTGCCCATCACCAGGTACAGTACCTGCCCCTTCGTTATCACCCTGCACTAATTGCCTGGGGGGTGGGGGTGGAGGTGGCTCACCCACTAACCCGAGTGGAGCAAAGCAGCCCTGCAGTAGCTCCTGGCACGTGCATAACCCTGCTAACAGCTGCCTGCACCTGAGTGACACTGACCTCACCCGGGGTCACTGCTCCCATTAACCACCCCCGCCCCCAGGGGAGGAGAACCTCTGGGAGTCATTGCCTGGGGTGTGTGGGGTTCCCTTGCCTTCTCACATCACTAGAAACTTGTTCTGAGAATTCCCCAAACGAGTCAGTGGTTTCAGTTTCCTGAAGATGTCACCTGAGGAAATCCTCGTGTTCCAGCTCAGAGCAAAGCAAACAACTTCCCAGGTCCTGCCTTTGTTGTGTGACACCCCTGGTTATCTGTCACCATTGCATTGCTTGGTGTCCTTTTCACTTAGCCCACAAAAGCCAGGCCTGTAGGAAACTTTGTGTTCCTGTTGCATGACTTGGACTTTGTGAGGAACCACTTCATAATTAAGAAGGAGATCTAGGAATAGCTGTGGCTCATGGAACTCAGGGGTGGCAGAACTGGGACTTCTCCAGTGTCAGGACAGAGGCACAGGCCTGTCTGGAATTGTCTTTTCTTCAGCTCCTACACTCCTCTTTGCCAAAACTCTTATCCTTGGGAACTGATTTTGGTGCTTCTTGTAGGTTTTGAGGGAACAGAGGTGGCACTGCTGGTGGGAAAGGGGAGAGGCAGGACAAGGCAGGGAATCTGTCCCAGAGCTCTCGTGGCTTGGAAGAGACAGGTTGTTTCCACAAGTTAATAGGAAAAGAAATCCCATTAATCCTGTGGTGTCAGGACAGGGGCTTGGGGCATGGAAGGTTTGTTCCAGGGAATTATTTTGTTCTGACTTCAGTCATATTCCTGAGCAGTTGAACACTGGGATGGGCAGTGTGGGGAGAGCAGGTAAGTGTTAGGTGGGCACAGCCCCCACAATCCCCATCATCCTTGTTCCTTCCAGCTCAGGGAGCAGCAGGGGAGCTGGAGCCTTCCAGAGCAGGACAGAAAAAGGATTTTAAGGAGTAGAATGAGCCATGTGCAGCTGTTGGCTCAAAAGCAAAGGTGGCATGGGCCCTTTGGGACAGTGATTTCTGTGTGTGGCTGGGCAGGCAGGGGCAGAGGAATGTTTGCAGGATGACTGCAGGGGCAGCCTGGGCAACCATGGGGGCATCAGGATCTTCTTTAGGTGCTTTTGTTGTTGACCTTAACTTCAGGTCAGTGTTCATACTGCACAATACAGGGAGTGCATTACTGCTCTGCAGCTCCTTGGTTCCTTCAGGGTCATTCCTAAGGATGTATTCACCGGGAGCCATTTCATGTTCTCCTAAAATTTACTGAGCTTTCTTTAAGCAGGTTTTGGCCCATGAGTCTTGAGGCAGCACAGCCTTGGAGGAAATATTCCCATGACTGGGGCTTTACTGGTGGGACTTGGCCACCAGTCAGGCAGAATGGGATCCAAAACTTTCCTTTGGACCCATTTACGGCCCTGCCCTTACTGTGCTTGTAAATTCCAAGTGTTTTCCTGGTTTTATCACAGTTAGATTTTTGTCTCTGCTACATTTGAATCAGCTTATAATCATCTGTGAGAAACTGTCACCATTAGAGGAATATTCCAGGCTTTATTCCCAGTTACATCTGTCTTGTGCTGCACCAGGACAGGCACAGAGACACCTGGGCTGTGGATGAGCTGTTTGTTTCCTTTAACCCAAAACCCACATGGTGTGGACTGGGGGTGAAGACAGGGATTTTGGTCCCTGCCACGTGTAGGAAGGTCACAGCTGTGGGGACAAATTCATCCCAAACCCAGCACTCACAGGGTGCTCGAGACTGACATAAATAATTATCCTCACAGGAGAGTTTTTAAACTTGGTTAAACTGTGTAACAAAGCTGAGAGCTTTGAGACTGAGATTTGTAAGCTAGAAAATGCTAATAAGTAAATTTGCCTCAGCAGGGTTAGTATTTACTGCAGCAACTCCACCTTCCCTTTGAAGGCAGCAGCAGCACCATGGGGTTTGCAATTCCCTGTGTCCATCCCAGCTTTTATTAACATGTGCCTTGTATTGATTCTGGGTCTCCTTCAGGCAAATAATGGATTGTTCTTCAATGTTACTGCCTGTAATTATTAGATCTTTAAGGTCCTCAAATGAGCATGATTGAAGCACCTGGAGTTGAATGACAGCTTTATGAGCAGGGTTTTTTCCTGGATGGAAATGGAAATGCCTGCCCTGGAGTTGGACAGTGGGAGTTGGTGGAGCCAGTTCATGCTGAAGGAAGTGTGACCCCACTGTGAGAGAGAAAACAGCAGAGATTTAGGGTGTTACCAATAGTGGCTGAAGGGAAATGAAATAATTGCAGCAGTTCTGACTGGAAGTTTTAAGTGTGCATCAGTAATCCCTGATTCCAAGATCACACACTGAGAATCTGCAGGAAAACCTCACTTCATAACAGACAGAAAACAGCTCCTACAAAGTGTTTTGGCCAGTATTTCTGAATACACTATCAGCTTGTGTTTTTTCCCCAAGTGCTGTGGCACATGTAGCTGTTCCCTGCTGGAATTGCTGCTCCCTTTCCCACTTCCTGCACAGACTTTCCCTGTTTTTTCTTTCTGCATGAGGCTCTGGAGTCACTTTGTTGCTTCTGATCCTCACAAAGCACCATTGAGAACAGCAGTTTTCTTCTAGCTTGAGCTCCAAAATGCAAATTTTTGTTACATTTGAATCTGCCTCAAACCCCTTCACTTATGAAGTGACTTGGGGGGGTGTGGGGATTATTTTAGAAATGGGTGCTCAGAAGAGGCTGGTGTGATTAAAAACAGAAATCAGAAATACAAATTGAAATGTGGTCATTTCCTTTTGACTTGGACTGTGTGTGAGATGGGTTTCTGCTCATGGCTCAGCCTCTCACTTGAGGCTGCTGATGGGATTTATTCCAGTTTTAGCTTGGGTTCCTTGAGTTCCTCTGGGTGTAACTGCTACAGGAGAATGGGCTTGGCTGGGTGCTGTTGTGGAAAAGCTTTGGGACTTGGAGAGGTTGGGAGTTCACTCCCTGAACTGACCCAGCTGATCATTTTGTAGCTTTTTTGGGGTATTTCAAGTCAGAAAGTGATGGGAAACTGCTGCAGTCCCTTCCCTGTCTGCATCCATGAGTGTGTGAAGGAGCTGCCACATCTAAATACCAGAATGAGCTTTTCCCCTTCGTTTTATGATTTAGTAAATAATAAAACAGGGGCAGTCAGAGGGGAAGGAAACAAGCTTTGTCTTGAGCCAGCCAAAAGAGCTGCACTGAGGTGCTGGGGAAGCAGGGCTGGGGGTTGTGCTGCAGCTCCTGCTCCTGGAGGAGGGACAGCACAGGAGGAAATGGCCCCAAGCTGCCCCAAGGGAGGTTTGGCTTGGATATTGGGAAAATCTCTTCATGGAGAGGTGGTCAGGCACTGGGAGAGATGGAGTCAGCATCACTGGAAGTGTTCAAACAATGTGTGCATGTGGCACCTGGGAACATGGCTTAGGGATGGACTCGATGATCTTAGAGGGTTTTTCCAACCTGAACAACTCCACAACTCTCTGATCTTCACATCTCAGGGCTGCAGCTCCTCAGTTCCTTCTGCATTGCCCATGCAGGCACCTCCTCCCTCCCCCAGGCCAGGCTCAGGTTATCCCACCAAAGGCTGGTGCCTGGTGGCACCAGAAAGACTAAAAATAAAAAACAGGGGCACAAGAAGCTTGAGTGAAGTGTGGAGCTTGGGTGACAACTTGGACTTTCCTTTTGCTTCCATTCTCCAAACCTCCCAGAGGTCTCCATGGACCCATCACAGCATCCAGCCATCAGCCTAGGGAAAAAATGTGTTTGTCAGGCTGAGCTTAGCATAGGTTTGTTTTCAGGCTCTTATCCCAGATTTCTGTTTTGGTGCAGCTTTGGGGTCCAAGGGAGCACTCCTGGCACTGGGAGCCATGGCCTGGAAGTGCAGAGCACGTGGCAAAGCCATGAAAAGCAGTGCTGGGTGATCACAGGGGGCTGGGGCTCTCCTTGATCTCTGCTTTTCCTAGGTGGCACTGATGGTTGAGCATTGATTTTATTACTCTGGGTATGGAGTCATTGGGGAAGAAAATGAAGAAGATGATGGTAAATAAAAGGATTTGGGAGGGGTTGGTATGTGAGCAGTGACTAAAGGGAAAATAGCAAGGAAGGGCAGAGGGGTAGGCAGGAGGTTTGGAGTGGGAGAGCCCTGGGCTGTGTCCCTGCAGGGGAGCCTCAGGAGCCTCCAGGGACCAGCTGGAGGCTCTGGGAATGAGCAGCTCTCCTTGCCCGAGGGGCTCCCAGTGCTGGGAGTGTTCCCCCAGTGCTCCCAGCTGCTGTGAGCAGGTTCTGGAGGTGCAGCAGGAGCCTGAGGAGCAGATTCCATGGCTGGAGTGTCCCCATCTCTGGCAGTGGGGGTTTTCCTGCACTGCCCTGTGGATGGAGGTGCTGTTGATAAAGAGAGGTCTCACTTCTGCCTCCAGCCCTTTTCACTCTGAATAAACACACACCTGTGGGACTTATTTTTTCCAGCCCTCCCTCAGTGAGATATCTGCTGCAACATGCTTACAGCTTAAAAATTACCATTACTCAGTGAATTGCAGTTAAAAAATAAAGACTTTTACACTTTGTGGTGTCTTTGGATATCGAAAAATAAAAAACTGGTGATTCTCACCATAAATTCAGCACCTGTACTTGGTTCATGCCACACTCCTGCATCTCCCCCACATCTCACAGCCACACACAGGTTTTATCAGAGCAGGACCATGGCAGGCTGCTGTTCTTCTCATTTTCTTTCTCCACCCTCACTTCCAGACTTTTCTCCCCACACAGTTCTCTTCTCCTGGTTCAGGTCACACTTCCAGCGTGCTGGGGACAGCTCTCCATCCAGGCTGACAGGGCTGGACATAAAATCTTTGTGCTCACCTTAACAGTGTCTGGTTATGTGAAAGAGTCATCCAGGGCTTTCCTGGAGAGATTGTTTGCTGTGGGGAGCAGCTCAGGTGTCATGAAGTCTTCAGCAGCACCAGAATGGCCATTTTCAGCTCATTGTTGTGTTGAGGACAGAGACATCACAACTTCCTTCCATCCTCCCCACCCTTCCCAAACCTGGGGTGGATAACCCCAGCTCATCCCTTCATTCCCCTCTCTTCTTTTCTCACTCCTCCTGGCACAGTTACTCCCTGTAGCACATCACTGCACAGCAGCCAGCAGGATTCAGTGTGATGTGTGGTGGCCTAATTATTATAATTACTTTTTACTGAACAGTTAAATATGTGGCATTTCTTCCCCTACCAGTCTTGGTGCAGAAAAGGAGAGAAATCATTATTGGAGCCAGGGTTTCTGCTTTATCTGCTCTCTCTGTACCACTGAAAGAGACCAGAAGGAGAAATATTTGATGTTTTAGGAACAGAGTAAACAAAAAGTCTTTCTGTAGTGTCACATTTCATGCAGTAAATCATGGTTTCATTGGGTTTTTTGTTTGTTTGGTTGGTTTTTTTTTTTAACTTTTATACTTCAATGTGAAACTTTCGTAGGAGAGTTCTGACCCTGTGGGATTCTGGCAGGAGAGTCCATGGTACCACTCTGTCTTTTCCTGCCTGTTTCTGGAAGGGATGAGTCAGAGCAGGGCAGAAGCTGCCTGGAACTGTGTGCATTTAGGGTGCATGTTGTATCCTATTCCTTCCTGTTGATCTGTAAGCTGTTCCATTGGCTTTCTTTCTGTTTCCTGCTGCTTTCTTGCTTCGTTATTGAAGGGAGGATTCAGACCTATACAGGTAACTCCAACTCCTGGTTCTGCATGGCATCAGTGTCTCTCACCTGGTCACTCCTCTGTCAGTGAATGCCTCAGTGTGCAGTGCATCCCTCACCTGAGAGCTGCAGAGCCAGGGCCTGCAGCCCAGTGCCCATCCCAGGGGCAGAGCCAGCCCCGTGCCCATCCCAGGGGCAGAGCCAGCCCTGTGCCCATCCCAGGATGCAGATCCAGAGCCAGCCCCGTGCCCATCCTGGGATGGAGATCCAGAGCCAGCCCTGTGCCCATCCCAGGGGCAGAGCCAGCCCTGTGCCCATCCCAGGATGCAGATCCAGAGCCAGCCCTGTGCCCATCCCGGGGGACAGAGCCAGAGCCAGCCCCATGCCCATCCTGGGATGCAGAGCCAGTGCCAGCCCTGTGCCCATCCCAGGGCTGCTCCCAGCACAGGAGGGTGAGCATGGTGCTGCTGCCAGGGCTTGCTTGGCTGCCTGGGCCTGGCCCATGTGCCAGGGCAGCACCTCATGCCAGCGTGGTGCAAGGCTTGGGACCAGGTTGCCACCCTTTGGAAAACAGAGCAGGACAAGTGACCTGGATGTGAAGGAGAAGCATGAGGTGCCTATGGCCTCCGTGAAATTCTGGGTTTTTAGCTCCTCTGGAGATAAATTGGAACAGTTGCATTGATGTTTTATTTCCCTGGGGTATTTATAAAGGTGGGGTTTTTTAGCAGCCAGCCCACCTTATAAAAAGAAAATGAGACTATCACTTTTCTAAAGTTGGCTCTGAAGGTTCAGCTGTAAAATTCAGGAGATGCAGACTAATAATTCTTAGTTTGTAAAGTTTCTTGCCTCTTTCTGCCTTGTAAGATAGAAAGCCATAGATGGCCCTGCTGTTCACAGAGAACCACGGACTGTCCTGCAGTTTTCTGGAAGTGTGGCAACCCCTGGAAACTAACACCATAACTATAATATTGTAAGGTTATTTCCAATTCTTTCCCAGGAGGTCTGACCAGTTCTTTGTTTTCTCTCCTCTCTCCCTTTCCTCTCCTAGTTTTTTCAGAGGCCTCAGATCCAGCCTCCAAGAGCCACCATCCAGAACAGCAGCCCCTCCATCCGTCCCGGAGCGCAGACCCCGACTGCCGTGTACCAAACCAACCAGCACATCATGATGGTGAACCACCTGCCAATGCCCTACCCGATGCCTCAGGGCCCCCAGTACTGTATCCCACAGGTAAATGCAGCATCCAGGCACCTGAGGAGCTGCAGAGCCACCTTTGCTCCGTGGGGGCTGGGATGTGGGGATGTGTCTGTGAAATCAGGCTGTAGTTGCGTATCATGTGCCAAGGCAGGTCTAGATTAGGTATTGGGAAAAGTTCCTTCGTGGAGAGGATGATGGGGCATTGGCAGAGCAGTGCTGGAGCCAGCATCCCTGGAAGTGTTGAAGAAATGTGTGGATGTGGCATCTGGGGGCAAGGTTTAGGGGTGGGCTTGGCAGTGCTGGGGGAACAGTTGGACTTTGGTGGTTGTAAGGGGCTTTTCCAGCCCAAATGATTCCAGGATTCTGTGGTTCAGCCTCTGTCCTTTCTCTGTATGAAGTGTTTGTTCTTCTGTGCATGGAGGCAGTAGGAACCCATCACCTCTTTCAGGCCTCCCTCAAACACAGTAGGAAACCAAGCTCTTGGAAAATATTTAGTCTTTAAAAAATACCTAATTTGACTTGGTAGATCCACAGGCACTCCAGAACCTTGGGCCTCATAACACCGTGTTGCCTTCAGGACAGGGACTCTGTTCTACCTCAGCTCCTGTGTCCTCCCTGCCTTGGCTTTACCTTACTGGCACTAATATTTGGAGAGGTTTAGGTGGATATTAGGGAAAACTCCTTCATGGAAAAGGTGGTCAGGCACTGGCAGAGGATGCCTGGGGCAGTGTTGGAGTCCCCATCCCTGGAAGTGTCCAGAGAACATGTGGAAGTGGCACCTGGGGACATGGTCAGTGGTGATGGTGGTGATGCTGCTGGTTGGTGGTTGGACTCAGTGATCTTAAAGATCTTTTCCAACCTTAACAATTCCATGATTCTGTGATGCCCAAAGCTGTCATTAACCAGCGTGAGGATCAGATGCCTGTTACCAGGGGGGCTCAGTTGCAGGTTGCCCCAGTCCTTGTGCAGTGACGGTTGTTTTTGTCCCCCCAGTATCGTCACAGTGGCCCCCCGTACGTCGGGCCACCGCAGCAATATCCTGTGCAGCCACCAGGACCAGGACCCTTCTATCCAGGCCCAGGTCCTGGGGAGTTCCCCAATGCCTACGGTGAGTTCTGCTTGGAGACTGCTTGCAGTCTTCTCTTGCTGTGTTTTTCTGTTGTCAAGCTGAAGATTTATAATAACAAGCTGGATTAGCATTTGTTTGAACTTCAAATAGCTGCTAAATTTGGTGGTGTCACAGCCCTGATTATTCACTCCTGAAAAATCCCAGAGCATTGTTTGTGTGAATGCTTCAGGAAAGGCTGCAGCTGCCCAGGCCAGCCTGTGACCAGCAGTGGGGCTGGTTGTTAGTCCCTGCTCAGTCATTATTATTTGCTCAGGTATTGTGGGTGCATTTGACAGTCCTGGTTTTCCCTGTGCCATGCCTGGCATTGCCAGTTAACAGCAGTTAAGAGTTCTTATCCCAGTGTTTCTTGTTTGGTGTGTGCTGGGGGATAAGAACAAGCCATGTGGGTTTTTCCCTGGATTGATGCTGCAAAGATCCTTTAGTCCAGTGGAAGAGTCTGTAACCCCTGCAGAGGCCAAAACTTGGCCTTTTCATGCATTTGGTCACTCACTGCTCCCTGCCCACTCACATTCTGCAGCCTGTTGGGGACAGAGATATTCTCAGGCTACCATGGGAATTCTCTGTTGGAATTTTGGAGCCTTGGGGTGACTGATTCCCTTCCAGGCTGACCAGTAACAGCCCTGCTGCCTTGGCAGAATTGCAGTTTGCTTTTCACACACAGAAATCCCTTTGGAGGGAGAGAAAAACCCGGTAGCTTCCCTGTGCATAATTTAAAAAGGTCTCTTATTTTTCCTCTTTTCCTTCTCTTATTTATCTGGTCTGTGTGGAACTCCTGGGAATTATTGAAAGGTTGTCATGAAGCCTTTGAACCTGGTAATGCAATTTTAGAATAGGAGAGAGGGTAATTTGGGGCAGCTACTTCCTGGTGGTTGATCCTAGAGAAAATAGAAGAAATATTGTAATGGTTCTTCAAATCTGATCTACTAGATGAGGAAATTGCCCAATATTCCTCATTTTTTCTTCTGTTACAGGTCTGCTTTCTTACTTCCTGCTTGCTTGGTGCCATTTATCTGTCTTCACTCCTGTAATTAGGAAAAGGTCCATTTCCAGCTCCTTTCCTCTCCTGAAGCACCTGTTTTTTTGCAGAAAATATTGGAATCTTTCAGTCCCAGCTTTAGGTTGCTGCTCCTGTGGAGCATCAGTGTGTGAAGCCAGAGCTCTCTGTCCTGCAGAGTTCTCCAGGCAGGGAAGGTTTCTCCAGGGATTTGCCTGTGCTTCCCCACCTTTCCCTCCTGTCACTGCCTTGCTGTGTGTAGGGACTGGGAATGCTCAGCCCCTCTCCAGGTGCTGCCAGGTTTGGGGAGCAGCTAAATCTACAGTCCAGGCATGGAGAATGCTGCTGGCAGTGCCTTTTCCACCAGCCACAGGACTTGTAGCCAGCGTGGCTGCTGGATATCAAAACCATTGCAGTTGGGCAAGACCTGAAGAAGGTGATAAAGGAAAATACAGTGGAAGACAAAACCTCTGAAGATGGACAGTGTAATTTTATAACTCAGTTTTGCAGCTGGTCATTCTCTGATGTCAGAGAGTTTCTGTACAACACTGGGAAAGACCTTGAAGTGAGCAGTGGGTAGGAGAGAGAATCAAAGTTGGCTGCTGAAGAACTGGAAGGGATCAAAGGCAGGGAGCAGAGCAGAGAGTGTGGCACTGACAAATGCACTTGGCCTGTCACAGAAGCTGTTTCTTCCCAGAAGTTACTCTTTTCAGGATTTGGGTTTTAAAAGTACTTTTCATAAAGGGAGAGTTGTTCCCTGAGTTCTGCTGGAGCTGCCTCTCCAGCAGGGATCACACTGCAGGTGATGTGGTTAGATCTGGTTTCTAGGAGACTACCAGTGAAGGGAATTCACACCTTGCAGGATCCCAGGCTTCCCCTGCTCCCTCATCTTACCCAGGCTCTGCTTGGACACCTGCTCAGCAGCAGGGTTCATAGAATCACCAAATCCCAGGATGGTTTGGCTTGGAAGGACCTTAAATCCTATCCAGTCCCACCCCTTGCCATGGGCAGGGACACCTTCCTCTACCCCAGGTTGCTCCAAGCCCTGTCCAGCCTGGCCTTGGACACTTCAGGGATCCAGGGGCAACCACAGCTGTTCTGGGCAATAATTTTTGATTCCCAGTCTGCAGAGATGCTGATAGAGACTTTGAAGCCAGATCTGAAATGTCTCTGTTGACCCTGGCATTCAAAATGAGACATTTCTTGAGTGATTCAGCCCACCCAGGAGTGTCACTTAGAGCTCCTTGCTGCCATGCAGTGCTCCCTGCTTGCACAAGAAATGTTCCCTCTCTGAGGATGCAGACAGGGACCCTGCTCTGAGCTGGGGCTTTCCAGCTCTCAGCAGGAGAAATGCATCCTTGGACTTGCAAATCAGGCTGTGCTGAGCTGGTTTAATTTGCTTTCTTGGATTTCACCCTTTCCCTGAGATCCAGCGACCCCCAGTTGGGTTACAGACACAATCCAGGTTATCATTCCCTGTTAAAGGTTAGTTCAGCTGAAGAATAGATCAGATTGTGCCAGAGGCAAGTGCAAGCACTCAGTTCATCCAGCATCCATGCCTAGAAGGGAGAACACCCAGCAGCACCTTACACATTCCCCTGACACCTGATCCATGGGCAGGAGGCAGCTCTGCTCTGCCACCCTGGTCTCTGGCATGGTCTTAAAGCACTTGGTTATTCATTGAGCCACTCTCATCCCACTGAGAAAACCATAATGAACCACACTGGCTGTTAGGAATGTGATCAGCACTGTGGTGTAATTCTGCACTCATCAACTGTGGTTGTGCTTTTTGTGTGTTGCAGCATGAGAAGAACATTGCTCATAATTAAATTTTCTGGTTATGCTTCCAAATAGGTTGCAGTTGACCTCGCAAATTGTTTGTATTGCTTAGACTGAATTTCTCTAAAAGGCAGAAAACCCCTGATAAACCAGCAGCAAATCCAGCAGAAAACCTTCCTGTTTGTCAGGCAGAGGAGCCCAGAGATGGTCTGGCAGTGCCTTTGTGGTGTCCATAGCCTCTCAGAAATGGATGGTGTACCCCAATTTTGGGTCATGGAAATCAAATAAGAAATGGTGACTGAATCTCTTGTCTTGATGGAGCATCAGCTTCTGTTCAGTGGCAGTGGAGCCAAGCAAACGCAGCCCTCCCAGAGGGGTGTTGGAAGTTCTGGCCAGCTGCAGTTCAGGTGTTGGTTGTGTGTCCTGAGCTGACCTTGTCCGTGTGGTTTGTGTTGTTGCTGCCCCAGGAACACCCTTCTACCCCAGCCAGCCCGTGTACCAGTCTGCACCCATCATTGTGCCTACGCAGCAGCAGCAGCCGCCGCCTGCCAAGAGAGAGAAGAAAACGGTGAGTGGGGCTCTGGGGGGCTCAGCCTGGGCTCTGGCCTGGGTGGGAGCTGCAAGGACATGGATGATGCTCTTCAGATTAAACCTGAGCTTTACCTTCACTGGAGGCCTGGCACAGGGTGCCCAGAGCAGCTGTGGCTGCCCCTGGAGCCCTGGAGGTGTTCGAGGCCAGGCTGGGCACTGGGGCTTGGAGCAGCCTGGGACAGTGGAACGTGTTCCTGCCCCTGCTCTAAGATGAGCTTTAAGGTCCATTCCATCCCAAAGCAGTCATTTTGTGATTCCCAAAGAGATTAATGTAATTAAGCATTGCACAGTGCTGTTTTCCATTTCTCTATGGGCATGTCCACTCTGAGTTTGTCACATCTCAGCCAATCAAAAAGGAAAATAATTATTCTGGTTTTAAATAAACAAAAGCAGCATGATCTCCCCAAGCCTGGAATCCTCACCTGTGCTGCTGCTTTAAGTGCTCCCAAAAAGCCAGGAGGGAATGAGTGCACTCAACAGTTTGGGAGAATGTTGGGAATTGGTTCAAAGTGGCAAATCAGAAATTATTGAATATTATGCCTTGAAAAAGGTGGAAAACCAGTAAGTTGTGGATGTATTTGCAAGTTTGAAATAACCTGACCACATTATTAAAGTGGACATGGGTCTGAACAGCACATTCCCTCTCTTTCTGGGGAGGAATTTGAGAGAGGCAGATGAGTGGAATTGAAACCCATCTACAGGTGGATGGTGGGGAACAGTGGAGGTGTAGGGGGGAAGGTAAGGTTTAACCAGGAAAAGATGATGTGGGCTTGAACTTGTGAATTAATCGTTTGTAAAGGACTGAAAAGAAAATTACAGCAGTATTTGTGTTGAGAGTGTTTTGGAAACATTAAAAGAACAGTTTCCTAGGGGTAGAAAAGGATAAAAGACTTGGACGTGTCTCAAAATGCAGAATATTTGCATCTTTGGAGTTTTAGGGGTGATCTGGGGTGACACTTGATTTGGGAGACCGGAAGAACTGAACAATGTGTGAGCTGTGCCTGCAGGAAAGGCCTTTTTGGTGGCTGCTCTCAGCAGCCTTTTTGTCACCTCTTCAGTCCCCAGGAGTCTCTTTTCAGCATCCCAAACACGACATGCCCAGATCCCTGATGCCATTGAAATGCAGAGCTGATCAGACACGCTCAGCTGGGATTAAGGCAGTTCCATGCCAGCCAAGCTTCGTTCTTTGAGGCAGAAAAGGGATTTTAAATGCCCGAGATGCTTGTCTCTGAATGTGCTGTTTCAGTTTGGTAATTGGTGCTGCAACTGGAGAAATGAGAAAAATTAAATGTATTAATGTGCACATGCCCACATCCACCATGAGCTGAGTATTTGAGTACTACAAACTTCCCTTGCAGGCAGGGAAATCTTCTTTTTAATGCCATGGACTCTGTGTCAGGTGGAGGAGAGGGCAGGAATTAGTGCCAACTCTCAGGTCCTTGTTGCTGTAGTTAATGAAATATTTTAGCAAAAAACATATATTTTTGCTAAAATATTTCATTTACCCTTCTCTTATCAAAAATAAGAAAAGCCCAGACTCAACATCCTGAGTACAGTGTGTGTGTTTGTGTGTTCACAAACAGAGTGAAGCCACCATCCCACCAAACTGGGTTTGACAAGTCACAAAACCCTGCTGCAGTTACAGTTTTATAGCCCAGAATCCCAGAAGGGCTGGCTTGGAAGGACTTGCAGGACCATTCCCACCCCCTGCCATGGGGCAGTTACTGGGTGGTTTCCAGCAGAACCCCTGCCCTGGGAAGGGTGATGGTGTCTTGATTTGTATGGAGTTGTTTGCTTGGATTTCTGCATGGAATTAATCTTGAGTTCAGCCAAGAGCTTTGGAGAAGGTGGGCAGATACACAGAACTCTGTCTGCAGGGCTGTCAGAATCTCCAGTTCTTACACTGGAGATGAAAAGCTGTTCCACATTATCCCAGACATGCTGGCTCTTCCCCTGGTCAGGGACATGGATTGGCTCAAGTGTCAGTTGAGGATTCAGTGAGTGTTCAGCAGTGGTTTATTTTGGAAAATAGTTTTTCTTTCCATTTTGGTGCTGTAAAGAGACTCAAAAATCCCACTTTTTTCCTAAATGCTGCACACTTCTAAGGACTTGAGTTTGTTCTTTCAGTTTCCCTTTCCTCCACTCAGTATTTTTGTTTGATTCCCTCTGTTTTGGTGGAACTTGAGACTGATTTACTGATTTGCTTTCCCCCTTTTCCAGAAGCTGGGCTGGCAAGGTCAGGGAGTTTCCTGTCAGGGCAAAAGACAGCCTTTTCTCCATTCTTGCCCTTTCCACTACTGGGCAAGCTTAGCTTGTACCTAAACTGTCTCCCACTTCTCCTCAGCTGCAGGAAGCTCACGTTCCAGCAGCAGAGCCTGGCTTTTGCATTACAGGGTGCACATATTTAGACTGAACTGGTGTGGTTGATGATTCAATTAGGTTTTGATTAAATTAGGTGTTGATGAAGGGATGACATGCCATGCATTCCAAGCCATGGCAACAAGCCACATGCCAGTGTTGCTGAGCACCAGCTCATCCCAGAGCATCTCCTGCTGGGTGTGGTGGGAACTGGTGCTGCCCACGCTGCTCTCCACCAGGACAGCAGTAACAGGAACACTTGTGGGAATTATTCCTTTGTTGTTATTGCAATTCTTTCAATCCTGTAGATCCGAATCCGGGATCCAAACCAGGGAGGCAAAGACATAACAGAAGAAATCATGTCTGGAGGGGGCAGCAGGAACCCCACCCCCCCCATCGTCAGACCCAGCTCCACCCCGACTCCACCTCAGGTAAGGAAGGGCTGAGTTCCTCCCCAAGACCTTTGCATTGCTGTGCCTCTCCCTCACACCTCCAGCCACACCTCTGACCATCTCAGAGACCTGGATGCTCCCAAATGATCCATATTCTTCAGCCATGATGTTTTCCTGAGTTTGATCATTCTTAGCAGTCCATAGCTTGTCGATGTGGAGCCCCAGTGCTGCTTTACTTTCCCCTCCCTGGTTTTCTATCAGCAGCAGCTTTTCAGAGCTTTTCAGTTAAAGGAGGAGCCAGAATATCTGTGGGAAAGGAGGTGTCTCTGTAGCTTGTCGATGTGGAGCCCCAGTGTTGCTTTACTTTCCCCTCCCTGGTCTATCAGCAGCAGCTTTTCAGAGCTTTTCAGTGTTAAAGGAGGAGCCAGAATATCTGTGGGAAAGGAGGTGTCTCTGTTAAGTCTTGTGCACCTGAGGAAAGTCCATGTCACACAGGTGATTATTACAGACCTTCAGTTGCATCACTGTTCTTTCTGCCTTTCTGCAGCTCTTTAGAGTCACCACAAGATCTGGAGCTCAGGAATTTTCTCACAAAACTGTAATAAGTTATCACACATTTGTTCTCTGGGTGTTCAAACTTAACAATGCATTTTGCTGGTGAGAGAAAATGATTAATACTCCAAATCATTTTCTGTAGCTCTTAAATCCCTTCTTGTCATGCACCTTTGGGTCTGACCTCTTTAAGTCCCTGGTTAGAGGTCAGGAAGGTTCTCCAGCTGATGGCTGGGCTGTGGAGCAGAGCTGGTGCTGGGATGTGATTTCTTCTTCTTCCACCTTCTTCCCTGTTTGATGTCACCAGCTTTTGGAAGCTTTTAAGGTGAAACAGCTTTTCCTGAGCTCAAACCTTCCTTTCCTCCCCATGTGGGAGTAGATTTTCTGCTGAGAGTCTTGTGCAGGAGCACAGCCCTGTCTGGGAGCACTGCTTGTGCTGGAGTGGGAGCTGGGGATGCCAGGGAGTTGTAACTGGATCATTGAGGTGAAGTGAGAGCCTGGCCTGGAGATCCCTCCCTGGGAGCAGCAGGGTTTCAGCTTTCAGCTGTTCCCAGCTGAGTCCAACCCTTGTGTCCCCTGAAGGCACCACCTTGTGCTTTGTCACCAGTTTTCTCCTCTGGTCCCCATCCAGGACGAGCAGCAGCAAGGCACCAGGTAAACTTCTTTCCATCAGAGAAGACAGTAGAGATGCCAAGCATGGGAGTCTTGGTGAGATCATCTCCCCATTTCTTCTTTCTACCCGACCTTCCCCGTTGGAAGTGGGAAGAGTTGGAACCAGCCAGGATTTCCCGTGGTATTCCTGCACAGTGCAGTGAATCCAGGCACTTACCTGATCATTCTTACATTCTCAAATCTATTTTAAGGCACTACAATTAAGTCAAACAGAAGGAAATAAATGTGTTTCAAGAGGAGGTTACTAGGCCTGAATTCTGATCAGCTGTAATTTATATGCAGAGCACAGCAGTGATGTCCAATCACCTCCTCCAAGGTATGCAAATATTCCATTGTTTAATATCCAGCCTTCCTTTTGATTAGGTGCTTGGAACCACTTTTGGTAATCACAGAAGAGCTCTGAAATTGGGCTCACCAGAATAAGTTCATTAGTGTAACACAACTGAAAATTTAAGCCCACTTAAGCCAGGAAATTCAACATTATTGTCCCAACAGCTTCTCTAAATCAAGTCTTTGGAGCACGTTTAATATCTTGGGTGAAATTAAATAGTGTCTTAATAACTGTGCTCAGGAATTGCAGTAGTGGGGGTGGTACTGTTTTGAACAGGCTCAAGTCAGTAAATTTTCAATATTCAGCCATAACTTTTGAGATGCTCCTGACCTGGGGCAGCTCCTGGGACAGTACAGAGGGAGCAGAGCTGCTGTGTTTGTTCCACCCCCCTGGACCAAACTCTGCTCACCCCAAACCCTGCTCACCCCAAACCCTGCTCACTCCAAACCCTGCTCACCCCAAACCCTGCTCACTCCAAATCCTGCTCACACCAAACCCTGTTCACCCCAAACCCTGCTCACTCCAAACCCTGCTCACTCCAAATCCTGCTCACTCCAAGTCCTACTCACCCCCTGGACCAAACCCTGCTCACCCCAAATCCTGCTCACCCCAAATCCTGCTCACCCCAAACCCTGCTCACCCCAAACTCTGCTCACCCCAAATCCTGCTCACCCCAAATCCTGCTCACCCCAAACCCTGCTCACCCCGGGGCAGCTCCTGGGACAGTACAGAGGGAGCAGAGCTGCTGTGTTTGTTCCACCCCCCTGGACCAAACTCTGCTCACCCCAAACCCTGCTCACCCCAAACCCTGCTCACTCCAAACCCTGCTCACCCCAAACCCTGCTCACCCCCTGGACCAAACCCTGCTCACACCAAACCCTGCTCACCCCAAACCCTGCTCACCCCCTTGGACCAAGCTCTGCTCCTCAGGGTGCTCGGGGAGATTTCACTGCTTGAGCACTCAAAATGTGAGTGTGCAGCCTCAGGGCTTGACAAGGCAGCATCAAAGTGACTCCCAGTCCAAGGAGATTTTTAGAATTCTAGCAAATTCTAATAAAACTTCTTTCTCTGAATCTGCTATCTCATTATTTAAATGGCACAAACACAGAGGAAGTCCTCAGGAAGTGCTGGAGACCACTCCCTGTCCCAAATTCTGCATTTGAAAAAGAAACCCTTTTATAATAATAATTTCCAAATTTTATTTTTTTCTTTAGATTTTAATTACTCTATTAACAGACTCAAATAAACCAAAACTTAGCTAACACAAGCCCAAAGCACCCTCTTTTCTCAGTAGATTAAGTGCTGAACATCAAAAAATTGTTGGAATTGTGATTAACATCAAAAAGTTACTGGAATTGTGCAGAAGATGAGCATTGCTGCCAGGATGAGCTGCGTGGTTTGAGCCATTCCTGTACCTTTTACTCAGCAGCACTGACCAAAAAGTGCTTTAGGTGGAGTTTGCCCATGCTATTCTGCAGTGTATTTTAATTGCTTTTGAGCAAGTAAAGTGTTTTAAAGCTCCTGCAAGAGAAGCTGGAGGTACATGGTATGATTTATCCATTTCTGGCAGGACACTGTTTTCACTCTGATTTTTGCTGGGAAGAGAAAGAAAACCCAGGGCCAGAATCTGATTATGGTATTGCCTCAGCACTAGCTTCCACAGAAGATCACTTTTTAAAGAGTGACTGCTCTTATTTTCCTGCCAAACTATTCCTAGTCTCAGTAAGTTTGTCAGAGTTGTGTTTTCTCAGTGTCCAGGCCCTGGTGGGGTAGAATAACCCAGAGCAACCCTTGGAGCATCATAAATCAGAGGAGCAATTTTCAGTGGGATTTTTTGCATAAAATCTCTCTGAATGCTCCATTTTGCAGCTGCAAGGCTCAGTGCATAAGGACCATTTATTCATTTGCAATATCATTCCCACAAAATAAATGTTTTCCACATTTCTTAAGGAAATACATTTCCTGACCCAAGAAGTTTCTAAGCTTACAGGTTTCTTCTTCACTGTTCTGCTCAGGCTCCTGTCGTTCTTATCACAGTTTCCTTTTTCCACACTTATTTCATCCATAAATTTTCTTATAAAATAAAAGTCTTGATCACTGAGGGCGAGGGGAAAATGTTCTTGAAATTTGCTCATTTATAAAGCTGGGTTTTCTTTGGTTTCTTCCCTTTGGCTGGAGGCTGGGCTGCAGTTCTTCATCCATTCTCCAGTCCATCTGTCAGGCTCATTCCTGAAAGAGGAGCAATCCCAAATACAACTTCAGCCCTTCACCCCCACTTAAATCTTCATTCTGATTTTTCCAGATATGCTTTTTCCTGATCTTCCTGAAATGGTGAAAAATAGTGTCTTGGAGAGAATTCCCTCTTTATCCTGCACTGTTCAGATGCAATAGGCAAAAAGTTGGAGATGGGAGGAAAAAAGAGTCACAGGAAGAGAAGCAGGTGGCCAGAGCATTTCCTTTTATAGGGAAATAAGTTTTGCATGGATTTCTGAGAGCCTGTCTGCAATCAGGAGTGATTAAAAAGTCCTTTTCCTGTAGACGTTCAGAGAAGTTCATGGATGTGGAAATGGGTGAGAGCAGACACCTGCAGGGAGCTGTCTGGCTTTCCACTTGGGATTAGGAAGTTAAAATTTAGCCCCATTTTCTTCTGTGCCTGGTCCCCAGTGTGTATTTAAGGGGATTTTGTGACCAGCTGCCTTGCCCTGTCTGTGGTCACTCCAGCAAATTCTCACCTTCGAGTCTGGAGCACTAACTTGGTCTTCCTTAAATTCTGAGACTAAACACAAAGGATTTTAGCAAACTTTCTTGAGCACAAGTGAGTGTTTGGTGGGAGATAATTGAAATATGTGTGTCTTCCACAGGCTGGGGCTCCTTCAGTCTTCCTTCAGTCTTTGCAGGCCTTTTGGATTTGTTCTTCCATACAGAGAATCTCAGTCCACGTTCTTTGGGAGTCTCCCTCAGATTGCTGCCCAGCTGGTTTTATTCTCCTCTTGTCCTGCAGGTCCCACCCCCAGGCTGCTTTTAGGGGGTGTTGGGGGATGTTTTTCATCCCAACACTCCCAGTCTGGGATGATTTTCCTCCTGGGATGAGGAGTGCTGTGTGTGCAGACACATCTGTCCACTGTTCATCCTGTCCTGCACACATCAGCTGTGATAAGTACACAGAGGAGTCAATCAATAGATCTAAATCTCTAAGGGGGTTGAAATCATGGATCAGTAGAGAAAGGAGCCAAATCCCAAAGGTGAGCTGGAGTCACAGAGGCATCCAGGAGCCTTGGTGTGTGTCCTGCATGGAGGAGCTCCTGGAGGGGTGTTGGGAGGGCAAAGCACGTTGATACTGGTGCTGTGCTGTCCCTTCCTTGCTGTTCCTAACAGGGAGCATCTCCTTCCCCTTTTCCTGCTGCCTTTCCCTCCCTTTCCCATGAACTTCTTGGATTTATCCAATTGACCTGTATATCATTTCTCTATTTCCTCTCTCTGTTCTCCCCACCTCTGGTTTCTCCCCTCCATCCCACCCTGCCTCATCTGCCCTTGCTGCCTGTCGATGTCCCCAGGCTGACGCTGCTGTCCCTCCCCCCCAGCAGGTGCCCAGCCAGCTCCCCGAGCCCGTTCCCCCGGCGCTGGGGGCCCTGGAGAGCTCCCACCCCTCCGGCAGCGCCGCCGGCAGCGCGGCCCCCGCCTCCAGACAAGGTCGGTTCATGGACATTTCCTCCCTCAGTACTTTGAACCATTTATTTTTTCCCCTCCTTTCTTGTTTTAGTTGGAATATTTTTGGCAGGGAGACCAGCAGGCAACAGAAATAGGAGGGGAGGAACTTCTCTTCCTCCAGTGGAACATTTAAAGTGTGTTGCTAAGGCAATTAATTGGAATTTGCTAATGTGGAACTGGTTAAAAATAATTGTCTTCAATCTTCTGTGTCCTAAACGTTGTTTCAGAGCACACAGAAGGAAGAAACTCCCCTCACCCAAGTGCCATCCTCCAGAAGCCAGCATGTTGTCAGGGAAACGCTTTGGCCACAGAGGCTTTGGATCGTTTGGATAATTAGCCACAGCAGTGGCATGGATCCAGAGGATCATATGGCTTCCCCAGAGCTGCTTGTGTGTCCAGTCCTGTAGGAATGGGCAACATTAACTAGGAAAAAACCCATTAGTGTGCCAAGTGTCTCATAAGGCCCATAGCAGATTTTGCTGACTTTGGTAAAAATGGCACAGATGGAAAGAGTTTCTTAAAATTCCATTTCCTTGGATAACACTCTCAGGCACAGGATGGGATCCTGGGGGTCCCTGCACAGGGCCAAGAGTTGGACTCAATGATCCTGATGGGTTCCTGCCAGCTCAGGATATTCCATAATATACATTGGAAGGGAGATCTTTTAAGCTGTTCAGGGAATTGTCCCAGGAGGTGACAGAGCAGGCCCAGGCTGTTCCCACACGGGGATTTGCAGCCCCTGGAAGCTGCAGTTCCTGATGTGTGGCAGCAGGATGGCTGCTGGGGTACAGAGCTGCCACCACTGTCTGCTTCCCAGTTCCACCTGTGGCATCACAGCTTCCTGGGCTCTGCCTGGAGCAGCACGTGCAGGGACATCATGGGGTGCTGGGATTTTTATTTCAGAGTATCATGGAGTCCTGGGATTTTTATTTCAAATTATCCAGACTCACAGAATGACCAAATTCAGAAAAGCCCTCCCAGATCTTCAAGTCCAACCCACACTGCCATGTTCAGTACTAACCACGTCCCCAGGTGTCACATCCACTTTTTTTAACACTTTCAGGGATAGTGACGCCACCACTGCCCAGGTTAGTGCCTGGCCACCCTTTCCATGAAGGAATTTTCCCAAAATCCAACCTGAACCACCCCTGGCACAACCTGAGGCCATTTCCTCTTGTCCTGCTGTATATTCCCTGGGAGAGGTTTGCTAGATGAAAACCAAGCCCCAGAGAAGCACAGCCCTGGAGAAGGGGCCAAACCAACATCTGTGGTGCTGCAGATCCCAGCACGGTCACTGCTGGGGAACAAGGATGGGGTCCCTGGGGTTGCTCTTACAGCCACAGCATGGACATTGGGGTCTCCCTCTTCCAGTGCTGTGCCTTTAAACTGCTGCAGTGTCTAGAAAGCATCTGTGGTGCTGCAGATCCCAGCACCCCATGGTGTCCCTGGGGTTGCTCTTACAGCCACAGCGTGGACATTGGGGTCTCCCTCTTCCAGTGCTGTGCCTTTAAACTGCTGCAGTGTCTAGAAACTGGTTGTAAAAGGTTGAAAAAGGACCTTTTTGGGCTGGGCTGATACCATCTCCCACTTTAGGCAGGCTGTGGCTCTGTCGAGATGTTGGTGCAAACCTCCAATGTCCCCAGTGTCCCCTGAACAAGGCATGGGTGTGTCTGATGTCCTTTGGCTCTGCTGAGGCTGTGCTGCCTGAGCTCCCCTGCCTGTTTGGTGCTGCCCAGCTCTGGCACAGCTGCTCTTCTGTGTGTGTCCCCTCTGCCAACATTCCCTGGTCCCTCTTGCTGCCAGGGAAGAGGGGTGAGCTCCTCTGAGCACACCACGTGGTCACCTGGTGGCCCTGGTGATGGCTGAAGTGCATCTCCCCCTGGGGCTGAGCTGTCAAGCCATGGAGTCACAGAACATCTCCAGCCAGAAGGGTCCTGTAAGGATCACCATGCCCAACCCCCTGCTTCTCACAGGACCACCTCTACCACTAAATCATGTCCAGGAACTCCTTGAACTCTGATCCCTGAAAAATCCAGCACTCTCCATCACAGTATTTCATCTCTGTGTATGAAAATGTGGATTTCCAGGACAAGTGGGTCTTATCCCTCTTCTCTCTCTTTAAATTAATCCCTTTGTAGGCAGCTGTGAGTAAACTGGAAGTAAGTGTGTTTGCTTAGTTACACAGCTCTGACAGTGCTGGTTTAAACACAAAGCAGGGCTTGACTGGGGTTTAACACTGATGAGCTTCCCTGTGTTTATCTCTGTTCCATCCCAGAAAGAGTCAAACATTTGTTCCAGTCCAAAAATTGCCAAAGAGCACATTTATGTAAGCACTGCAGGGAAAGCCCTGGAATAACACCCAGCCATGGCTGGGAGAGCAGGGCAATGTAGGGGTTGGTGTCAGTAATTAACAGAGCCTGTTAATAATATTTAAATGAACTAATGACTTTTGGGGGGCACATCTGTTCAGAAATCCATGCCAAGGTATCAAACTGATTTTTCACTTTGATGTTGGGGGATTTTTGCTTCCAAAACAAGAGCAGTGACAGATAGGGCTGCATGGCTGAAGTGTTCATTGAAACCAGTGTTGTTGTTTCTCCAAAGTCCCCCCTGCCCTGTCCATCCTGCAGATCAGATCTCCCCGTGCCCTTCCTCTCCTGTGCCTTTGGCAGCTGTTGAAGTTTGGAATCAGGTTTCACTGTGGTTCTGTCACAGCCAGTGCTGCTTGTGCAGCTGTTTCTAACTGGGAGCAGCATCTGGCCAGTGTGCTGGGCTCAGGGTCAGGGTCAGGGTTAGGATCGGGGTGCTGGGCTCGGGGTCAGGGTCAGGGTTAGGATCGGGGTGCTGGGCTCGGGGTCAGGGTCAAGGTCAGGATCGGGGTGCTGGGCTCGGGGTCGGGATCGGGGTCAGGGTCAGAGCCGTGTGCTCTGCTGGCACACCAGGATCTGCAGTCCCTGGTGGCTTGCTCTGGAACTCATTCCCAAGGTTGGATTTGGGATTGCATTATTTATATCTGTGGTTGGGTTTTTTTTAAAGACAAGCCTTTGGCATTTCATAGAATCCCAGAATGGTTTGGGTTGGAGGCACCTTAAAGCTCCTTCCACTCTGACCCCACTGCCATGGCAGGCACACTTCCAGTAGACCAGGTGTAGGAATTGCTACTATTAATACCTTGAAGAATCACATTATTTAGGTGCAAGTTCTGGTTCCTGGAGATGCCCCTGGTGTGTCCATACCAGCCAGGCTGACAGAGGAGAGAGGAGAATCCAGGTCAAGCCAGTGGCCAAGCCTGTGGAACCTGGCTGCTGGGCAGGCTGGTGCAGGAGGTGCAGTGGGATAGAACTGCATGGAATCACAGCTGCCCACATTTTTTTCCACTTGCGGAGGTTCGGGGGGATGTTTGGAGTAGTATTATCCTCTTTTTAAACCTCTTTCCAAATCTTGCAATGTATCAGACGTGGAGAATGTGCAACATGGTTTGTGGAAAGCAGATGAATGTCAGACCCCGGAGTTTGGAAAGCTCCAAGCCCCTCTGCTGACACTGAGTCAGTCCTGGTGCCACCTCGTGAGTGTTTGCATCAGGACAAAAGATGGAAAAATGGCAGCGAGCCCAGCAGTTATTGTCAGATAAACACCACAGAGCAGGAACAAATTCCTGTATCCAGTAAACTCTTCCTCGTGCACTGCCCTGGCCAGCCTGTGCCACGGGGACCACCCAGCAGCCCAGCAATGGCTCTTCCATGAAGCAGGCAGTGGGCTCTGTCCCACTGGCTAGGTGAAAGAATCTTTAAGGAATAATTTTGCAAAAATTGTATTTATCGGGAAATTTTTTAAAAAGTCTCTTGATATTTCCCCTGGAACAGCCAGCACTTCCTGTAAATACTTTCTAAATACAACACGAGGAATGATCTCAGCATATTTAGGAAGAGGGATTTGATCCAGTTGGGATGAATTGCGTTGATTTTTGTTTCCCCTCCCCAACTGTGAGTTGTTCACGTGACTCTGTAACAGTTGGCAGGGATGAGTCCTCCTCTGCCAGGACTTGGAGATTTGTTCTCTGGGATGGGGGTTCAAGTTCAGATTTGCTTCTCATTAGCCAAATCTGCTCCTCATTCTCTGAAATCCCTCCTCAAACCACTTTTCTCTGGGATTTTGCACACACAACCTGTATCCATGATGAGAACATTGTCCAGACAAGGTGTGGTTTGAAGGAAGGGAGTTAAACCTCTGGTTTCAAATGCAGCTGTGTTTTGTGATTTGTGCTGGTTTTATCTCTCAGAATTATTTTCTTAACACTTCAAATGCATTTGGTTGGGTTGTTTTTTGGGGTTTTTTTGAGCATTCTCCTTTGACTCGGGGAGAGAATATGCAGGCAGCTGTTTATAGCAAGCTGTAAATGTCAGGAATGCTTCAGGAGTTCCTGCAAAGGATGTTCCAGAAATCAGAGGTGATGTGTTTTCTTTTTCCAAACCACTTCCTGCATCCTTTTTGTTCCACGGAGCCTCCAGAATCAAAATCAGCTGTTGGGATACTCTTTCCCATCTCTTTCCTCACTTGTCATCCTGCTCCAAAGCCATGTCCCTGGGTGCCTCATTGGGCTGATAAACTACTGCTTTGGCCATGGGCCTCTGTAATGCTGCTGGGGCTGCTGACGGCTGCAGGCAGAGCTCACTTTTGCTCTAGCTATTCCTAAAGGTGGGATTTGATGCTCCAGGCAGTTTCAAATGGATTCTCCTTCAAAAACCCTTTGGTTCTCCTTCAAAAACCCTTTCCCTTCAGCTGAGCTGTTGAATAAACTTCAAATGGAAATCCAGCAGAGCCAAACCTGTTCAGTTCTGCCTGAATTTTGATGATTTGCAGTTGGTTGTGGCCTTTGACTTCCTAATCTGAAGAGCAGGTTTGTGCCTTTGGCTTCTCCAGAATTATTTCTGCTGGTGTAACCATGTCCTGAAGAAGTCCAGTGTTCCTGCAAGATCCTAAATGATAATGGCTCATACTTTAGTAGCAAAGGAGTGGGAAGCAGCAGAGCTGCAGCAGAGCTTTGGGAGCTGTGTGATGGTCATGGCAGGGATGGGATCACCAGGTCTGCTGCTAATCATGGGACACGTGCAGGAACTAATTTCTGCATAGGATTTCGGGGGTTGTGTTGATACATTTCTTCCAAACATCTAATCTAAATATCTCCTCTTTCAGTTTCGCTCATTCCCTGCTGTCTTGCAAGTTTTTGTCCATGTAAAAAGTTGCCCTCCTTGCTTCATAAGCCCCCTTTAGGCACTGGAGGGATGCAGTGAGTCTCTCCAGATCCGTCTCTTCTCAGGATGGCAGAGGTTGTATTTTGAAATTTAGATTCCCAGTAAGGTGCAGGGGCCTCTGGTGTCTTCCTCAGAGCTCCTTGGCAGAATGCAGGAATGGGACCAAGGCACCAGGCAGGAACATGGAGTTGCCTTGCTGTTGATAATGGTTTTTTTTTTCTCCCTTCCCAGAAGAGAAGCCAAAACCAGATCCAGTATTAAAACCACCTTCTCCAGTCCTCAGACCAGAACCTGCTGGGGAGAAGAAAGATCAAGCCGGGCAGACGACCGAGGCCCCCCCGTCAGTGGAGACCCCAGCAGAAGCTCCTCGTGCTCCATCCCCGGCCCCGGCCGCTCCGGTGGCCGCTGTCCCCGCGGCCCCCAGAGCCCCGCCCGCGGCTGACCCGGAGGACAACCGTGAACTGGCCTTGTCCAGAGAGGAGGCGATGCCAACCCCCAGTGCCACAGCCTGCCCGGAGCCAGCGGCGCCTCCCGCTGCGGACGAGCCCGGTGCGGAGGCGTGCGCGGAGCCCAGCGGTGCCGCAGCATCCCCCGGGGACGCCCCGGGGCCGCTGCCGCCCGCGCCCGCTGCCGCCGNNCCCGCGCCCGCTGCCGCCGGCGACACGGGCAGCGCCGGGGCCGCGGCCGAGCCCGGGGCAGAGGCGGCCCCGGCGGAAGCTGCAGCAGCGTTGACTGTGGAGGTGGAGCCCACCGAGGCCCCCGAAGCGGAGGTGGAGAGCGCTCCATCACCTCCCGGTGCTCCTCTCGCTGCTCCCTCGCCTCCTCCCACCCCGCCGCCCACCCCGCCGCCCCCGTCCCCTCCGCTTCCTGTCGCTGCTGTCACCACTACAACTCCTTCTCCACCTCCTCTCCCGTCTCCGAGTGCCCTCCCTGTTGTCCAGGGAGATTTAGAAGGAGAGGAGAGCACAAGAACTACTCTTAGTGAAGAGGTAAAAGATGTTGAAAAGAAGGAAGAGACAGAAGCAGATGGGCAGCTGGAGGAGAGCCCAGAGGCTCTGAGTGTGAACTCAAGCAAGAGTCCTGTCCCAGGTAAGAGTTGGGCTCTGTGGGTTCATGTTGGGAACTACAGGATGAAGGAAAGGGGCTTTTTCCTCTTCCAATAGATATTTCTGTTTCCATCTTCAAAAGAAAAAGCCTGGTGGTGCTGCATGGCTGCTGTGACTGTGAAATGCTGATCTTGGTTGGCAGGGATAGAAATCCCTCCTGGTTGTTGATAACTGGTCACTGCCTTGCACGTGTGCCCCGGGCTGGGGTGGGCTCACGCCTTCATGGCAGCACAGGGCTGGTGGAGGGCAGTGCAGAGCACACTGCTCTTCATGGAATCCCAGGATGGTTTGGATTGGAGGGGCCTTAAATCCCATCCAGTGCCACCCTCTGCCATGGGCAGGAGCACCTTTCACTGTCCCAGGGTGCTCCAAGCCCCAGTGTCCAGCCTGGCCTTGGACACTTGCAGGGACAGGGCAGCCACAGCTGCTCTTCCCCTGAGGTGAGCAGTTGTTCCAAGGGCCTGTGGCTCTGGATTTGGGACCCTGAAGCTCTTGGGATGAAACCCCTGAGCCAGTGAATTCCAGAACTGCTGGAGTGGCATCTTTTCCAGCTGAAAAAATGTGTCATGGTGTTCCCAGATGTGGGAAAATCAAAAGAACCGTTCACACTCACCCAAACAACTGACAGCAGAGTCACACCAGGGTCACACCAGTGTCACACCAGGGTCACACCAGGGTCACCCACCAGTGTCACACCAGTGTCACACCAGGGTCACACCAGGGTCACACCAGTGTCACACTAGAGTCACACCAGTGTCATACCAGGGTCACACCACTGTCACACCAGTGTCACACCAGTGTCACACCAGAGTCACCCACCAGTGTCACACACCTCTACCTGCCCACACTTCATTAGTGATGCTTCTGGTTTTCGTTTGCAAAAGTCACATATAAGCAAAATGTACAATTTACAATTTTAGATTTAAATTCTGCAGTTTACGGATTAAAATTCACTAAAATCACAATTTCTGCAACCGCCTTTTAAAATCCAGCTTGTTTCTCCAGTGTTTCCTGCCTTTGGTTTCAGCCCTGCCACATCTCTGGTTTGGCACTGTGGTTTTAACACTCTGTGTTTCCTATGGAAAATGGCTTTTTTTGCAGGACTTCCTGGAGATCACATTGTGGAAAGGAAGTTAAATGATCAATTCCTTGTATTTGCTGCTGGAGGAGTGTAATGGGGGCTGTTCTTCACACCCAGCAGTGTTAAAGCATTTCATGTGTCACATTTTCTACATCCTGTTCTGCAGTTATTTCAATTCCTTGGAACTTGGTGAAGCTTGGACAAAGAGGACAAACAGTCAGTTGTGATTTGGATCATGTTGGTTTCATTTCTTTAAAGTAACATTTCATTTAGGGGTTTTTTGGTTTTTTTCTTTGATGGATGGGAAATGGGCTCAGAAATCTCAGGCTCTGCTCTTAAATGCACTGAAAGGCTGAGGCTGGCCCTGTTCCATGTTTGTGTGATGCTCAATATGCTGATTTTAAAATTCAGTATCTACAGATGAGAAGAAAGATCCCTTTACTACACTAACCATGAGGATTTTTTCCTGTTAATCTTCTTCTATTTTTATTTCACTCGGGTCATTTCACTGCTGTGGCACTTGTTGTTCTTTCAATCCGAGCTACTTCATAACCCAAATTAATTTCCTTAAAAAGGAGAGGAGAAATGGGACTCTGTAAATAAGGTTTTGCACAGGCAGGTTCCAGCTTGCAGTGTTATTGCTGGCTTTGTAATGGCCTGTAGTTTAAATTAAAAAAAAATTAACTTACAGTGTTTGGGCTTTTAATTATGCAGAAGATTAATTTTAATGCTGTAATGTCATTATGCTCCAGAGCACACATTAGCCAAGCCATTGGCTTTGGCAACACAGAAACAAGGAGTTCTCAAGTCATGTAAAAGATGACTTGAAACTCGGATTTCTATTAAAAGCTCAGGGCTTCAAAGAAAGCACAAAGCTCTCCAAGTGGTTCTTTGTGCTCTACCCCTGATTTAATGATCCCAAACTATTGTATTTCTCTGCCAGCCTTCTTTTCAGCAATAATTTTCCAGTTCTTTCTTGGAGAGAGGAAGAGAGATTGAAATAACATCATCTGAGGCTGCCTGCTAATTCAGGAACAAGGAACAGCATGTCTGCCATATACATTGGAAAATCCAGATGCTGACCCTCAGGAGCAAGGAGAAAGGGTTATATTGTTGTGTTTTTCTTGGACTAAAGGCTGAGAGATTTTTTTATGGTCTCTGGAGTTAAGATTAAACCTGGGATAAGGGAAACTTCTCAAGCACGTGCTGGTATCTGTGAGCTCTCTGACTTTGAGCAATATTTCTTTGGGGTTTTCAGCAGAATGGTGTTTTTATTACAGAGCAGCTTGGCCACAAATCATGCCCCTGCTTTCCCTTTAAAGGGAGCTGAGCTGGGCTGGCTGGGACAGTGCTGGGACCTCTCAGGATAATCTCATTCCTGCAGCAGCTCCTCCTGCCTGTCCTTTTTGTAGCTATGACCTGGCCTGCCTGATTTTGGGAAGGAGACCTTCATCCCTCCTCCCTGAGCTGCTGGGGCAGCACTGCCAAGGCTCCCAGTGGATCCCATATTTTGCACTGGAAGTGGCAACTTTTTGGGGATGAGAAAGGGATTTGCCTGTTCCTGGAGAGTTTTACAGAACACAACTTCTGTCCAACATCAGGGAAACCAGACTTGGATTTTTTGCTCTGTCGAGCTCTGTGGCAAGAAGGAAAATACATTTAGACCCTTAGGAGCAGTTCTTTCTTTACAGCTGCACCAAAGGGCTTTGTCAGTGTTTGCAGGGAAAGGCCAGAGCTGAGTTAAGCCTGTGGGGATCCAGGGGAACCTCCATTCCTCCTTTTCCACTGGCATTAGGTCTCTACCAGGTTTCCAAGGTCAGGGGATTCTGCTGGAGCACCCTTGTTGATTTTACACTGAATTCTGCCTGCTCTGAACACCCTCACAGTGAAGTTGGAAGCTTTGGTGGTTCAGTCTGTTTGTCTGTGAGTGACTGGGTCATCATTCCCTGCTTGTCAGCATCACTGCTTGTGCATCCTGCTGAAATGGGGAAGATTTGTTGGTTTGAGAGCACTAAACCACTGAGCAGTGCAGGGTGTTGTAGCCAGGGGTGGTTCCTTGCTGCTGACTGTGTTCCTGGTCTGAGCATCCAAAGGGAACACGTTCCCCCTTTCTCAGGGCACAGGTTGTGTTCCTGCCTCCTCAGGAAGTTTTGCCTGAAGCTTTTAGGACAGGCAGAGCTGTTATCTGCAAGGGGCAAGAGCACATGCTTTTTACAGTAATTCATTCCTACTCATCTGCTCTACAAGGAGAAGAACAGCTTATCAAGAGAGGACCTGGGAGCTCCAATCTACGCTAAAAACATCACCCTGGCTAAAAGTCATCAACAACTGTTGCTTTTTATTAAATTCTGGGGTTTCTGTAGCTGCAGTGAGGGACCAGCACTTTCCAGGCAACAAAACAGGAAAAGTGTTGTTGGTGGAGTAGAATTTCTGCAGAAGGTGCTACCAGAGACCTGAGGCCTTTGATGTCACCATTCTATCATGGCTATTAAAAGAAGCAAAGAGGAAAACAAGACACTGATGTGTGTCCCAGACAGAGCTCCTTGGGACACGGAAAGCTGAAAGAACTTAATGCACATGGAATTCAAAGGGCTGTTTCTTGCAGAGCTCGTTTATGAGACATATTTCTGTATTAAGTAGCCCAGCTGTGGCAAGTCCTGGAGTTTCTGAGCTGAGGAGGCTGTAACGAGCAACTTGGGCTGTAATTGGAAATACCTTGGAGAAATTTCTCCAGCACCGAAACCTGGAGAGGCAGAAACATAAATCAGGTGTCACCTTTTTCTTGATTTGCTGCCATAACCACTGGAATAGATTTTCTTTTCCATGAGCTGGAAGGCAATGGTGAATCTTTGCTTTGGTCTTTCATGGCATGTTGGATAATAAAATAAAAATGCAAGAGCTGGGATTAATTTAGGCTTCACAGTTGGCACCACATCAGAGGGGAGAGGCGCCGTGTCCCGCTGGAAGGGCTCGCGGTGGGTAAATCCTGTGGGAAGATGTTCCACTGGGAACGTGACAGAGCTGAGAAACGGCTGAGGGAGCGTTGGGCCTGCTGAGCAGATCCCTGCAGGGGTGGGGGTAGCACTGGGAGTGGTGTCCAGCTAGTCTGGAATTAAGGGTTTGCTCCTCTTTCCAGTCCTAAGGGAAATCTGTTGTCACTCCTGTTATCTCCCTTGGCTTTGGAAGCTGTGATAAGAGCTCAGACTGTTGTTTGGGTTTCTGGTGTCCCTTCTTCAGAGGAATGAAATGAGCTGAAAACAAGGTCTGGAAGTATGAATAGTGGCAAAAATGAACCTGCCTTTGGGCAGGACTTAAACTATTGGAGAGAACTTGAAGTTGCTCAACTTGGGGACAGGAAAATGGAAAAGAAGGCCAGAAGTGTCTGGAGTTGTCCCTTTCCAAGAGCCAAACTGGACACGTTACTTTGTATTTCCCTACAGCCTCACAGATGAAAGTCCATCTTCAGGTGAATAATGCCATTGTCCTGTTGGATTTGGGGTTTGGGAAGGTTGGCACCCAAACTCACATCAGTGCAAATTCTCCTTTTTGCTCCTGCAGCAGAAATGTGAACTTGACAGAAAATAAAGAAATCTGGTGTCTGCTATTTTAAGATGGGGGAAGACTGAGCAATGTCTCCAGAGATCTCTGGAGATTCACCCCAGGCAGCTCCACAACACGGCCGGGGTTGGAACCCCGGGCTGATGGAAGTCGTGGGATTTAAGGCAAGACTCATTCAGGAGGCTTGGCAGGATTGCAGCCTCTACAGAGCTTACTTCTGCCAAAAAAAGGTGGAAAGAATGTATACTTGAGCAGCAGTAATGTTCACATCCTGACAGCTGAGGAAGGAAACACCCCGGACCTTTGCCAGCCCCAAATCCATGACCCCTGAATTTATTTCTGTGCGGTTAAAAATGAAATGTTATTTTACACTGTGACGGTTTCCATGGTTTGAGTTTGAGGGCAGTGGAATTCTGTCAGATTAAAAACTTTGGGATTGATCAATTAAATTACTTGGCTGTGGCAAAACTGAGGCTGTTGCTTTGCAGGCCTGATCCCTTCTTGGAGAAACCCCTGGGAGTGTGCAAGTGACATCACCAAACAAGACTGAAAACAGCCCTTTGACAAGGGCTCGGTTTTCACTGAATTTTTAGCAGATTTTGTGATGGAGGGAACTGGGGAAGCCTGTCTTAGATCTGTGCTTTGCTCAATTCCTGTAATTACCACGTGCATGGACACTGCTCATCCCCAGCCTTGGTTTTGCCCCTGGATAGTGGGGAATAACTGGGCTGTTCTTGCCAAGGGAGCTGCCTGGAGCAGCAGTAAAGGCTGATCCCTGCTGGGGGAGACAAAGCTGTGTTGCAGTCTGGGCCTGCTTGGCCCTTCCTCTCCCCTCCTTTGAGCCCCAGGAAATTCAGGATTTGTGGTGGGGCTCTGCCCTGCCCTTAAAACCTCTCCATAGGGAGACACAATGGATGGGATGGGCAGGACCTGGAGCTTGGGAGATCTGGGTGGTTTTTCCAGCCATTGGTTCTCTGAACAAGGAGATGATGTTTGAATACTGAAATAAGACTTTCCTTTTTTCATTGACTTTGCTTTTGGGGTGTTCAGCCTGGAGGTAAAAGTCTTCCATCAGTCTGGTGGCTCCTGTTGCTCTTTGGGCTGGGGCCTGGGTGTGGTGATTCCCACAGGAATCTGCAGGTCCATGGTCACCCTGCAAACAGGGAACACTCTGGAGAAACCACAGAAGCTCGTATATATTCTTTGGGGCAGGGGGAATGCAGCAAATCCCATCTGCTCCATGCCCTTAGGAACAGAGCTGACTGTTACTAACTCTTCTTATTTATAGTGAAGAACCTTTCAAAATTCTATTTTATTATGATAAAGGAAGTGCACACTGGGTTTTTCCACAGTGTCTGCTGGAAACCAAAAGCCAGAGCTGGAAATCTGTTTGCAGTAATCTTCAGTTACAAAATCAATCCCATTTACACTCTGTTAACTGGGCATGTGTGCCTGGGATCCGAATTTAAGCTGGGAGCATTTGCCACAAATTAGGAGCAGATTGGATTAATGGGTTTGTCTCCTCTTAATATATTGTGTGGTTTCTTCTACCCTTTAGGGGGAAAACACTATTGGAGTAAATCAGTGCTGATCTTGGGAATACTCTGGTGTTTCCTTTGACTCAGTTGGCCAGGGAGATCATTAATGCTGGAGTTACAACCTGCTTTTAAATTGAAGTATAAATCCATCTCAGAGCAGTGCTGCAGGATTGAAGGAGTTTTCCTTTTGGATGAGATACTGGAAATTTGGGCTTGCTTATGGTTAATATATAATGATGGTAATTCTTGAGAAAGATATGTTGAGAACAGCCTTCTCTTCCAGCCAGCACCTGATCTTTCCAAAAACTTGACTTCCTGAAGGTTTTTTTCCCTGCATGATCCTTGTGCTGTTGGCAGTGACCTCCTTGCTACCCCGAGTGCCATTTGGAGCTTGAATGAGCAACTTGTAGAACAATTCCTGTGCTTTCATGTCATTCTAATGATTGTTATTGCTGCATTGAAAGCCAGAGTGGTTGAATCAAGCTGAATCCTCCACAAGGCTGAACTGCTTTGTTGTTCTGTGCCTCAGAGCAGCCCCTGAGAGGGAAGCTCATCACCCACAGCCCCATCAGCCCCGTGTCCTTCAGGGTTGTAACAGATGCACAATGTTTACATTGCAGCCCAAACCGCTGTACCTGCACCAAAGACCTGGAAGAAACCAAAAGACCGGAGCCAAGGCACTGAGGAGGTGACAGAGGCAGAAACAGAGGTGAGAGGGAGCCAAAGTCCTGCTTTACCCACATTTAAAGGTGCTGTTCCTCTCTGGAAATTGTACTTGAGAGACATTGCTTCCTCATTGTCTCACAGGATCCAGGGCAGTTTTGGGGAGGAACTCTGCTGTTCCTCAGCATCCTTTAGATAACAGGTGTCAGTCTGCTCCCTTTTAAAGCTCCTCAGTTTCTTTGGGTTTGCCTCATTTAATGACTAATGCAGTCATAGAATCACAGACTGGTTTGGGTTGGAAAGGCCCTTAAAGACTCATCCCATTCCAACCCCTGCCATGGCAAGGGACACCTTCCACAAGAAGGTTCCACTAAACTTCCACCAGGCTCCCAGCACTGAGGAACTCCTTTCAGTGGAGAATGAGGGAAAACTGGGTTTGGATCCCTCAGCACTGTCCCATTTTGGTCCCAGGCCAGCATCCTGACATTTGGCAGGTTATTCTGCACAGGGATATCATGGCCAAGGATAGTTTTCCTGATGACCAACTGATGGAGAAGCTGATAAAGGAAAATACTGAAGTTTTCAGGCAAAACCACCTCAAGAGTGATTAGATGAATAAAGAAAGCCTCCCTTGCTGCTGTTCTAGTAGGGATATTGCAGCAGGGGGCTGTGCTTAATATCCTGGGTCAGTGTGGGGTTAGAATCAATCAGAAAGGGAGCAAGAGAGTAAAAATGTAGAAGTTCAGACTGCCCAGTGTGTGGTTAAAAGCTGAGGTGGGCCAGATGTGGTGCAGAGCAGGAGAGCAAAGGGGCTGCACCAGCAGCTTCATCCTCCACACTTTCCTCATCCTCCCCTACAGGAGTTGTGTCTCCTGCAGCACTGGGCAGTTCCACTGAGGAATTCTTCAGAGAATTCCCTTGAAAAATCTGCAAGAGGCGTTTTAGGATGTGGTGCAGTCAGGTAGGGAAGCAAAGGAGAGGGAGCCTCCTCCAGAGCATCCTCAGTGAAGTTATTCCTTTGTTCAGTGCTAAGAGGGGCTGGGATTTCTCCCGGAGAAGCACATTCCAACGCCTCCTCGTCTGAATGCACAATCAGGCTGTGTCCTTGGAGAGCTCTAAAATTAACAGCCAGGGATACTATTAATGCTTTTTCCTGAAACTGAGATGCTGGAATTGTGGCTGGATCTCACACTGCCTTCCTTAGTGGCATCTGCTCCAGTTGGCAGCAGGCATTTAAAGGAAGAATCCCCCAAAACAAGCACCACGTGCCATTTACCATCCCTTTCTCATGGATGGCAGGAGAAGAGAAAAGCAGAGTTGTGTTTCCAGGCTGGGATTGCTCATGGCTTAACAGTTCCCTCCATCCAATCCCATGGGGATTGCATGGGCAGTGCTGAGTCTCTCCAGTTGCACCATTATTTATCAGTGGGTTATCTGTGGGAATGAGCAGATAAATCACCCAATAGCTCAGTGTGGTGTTCCACATCCGTGTGTAAGATGCATTTGTATTCCTGCTGCTCCCAAAAATGCCTTGTGACTCCATGAAGAGCCATTTCACATGCACTGAATTTGTCAGGGTATTTCTAACAAAACCTCTGCTTCTGTCCATGCCCCAGACAAAGGAGGAGGAGGAGGAGCCTTCAGGGGACAAAGTACTTGAATCCGACCAGGAGAAAATGAGCCATGGGCTTCAGGCCGAGAGGGAACCCTCAGAGCTCAAAGCAGCGAGGAGCGTGGAGGAGAACGGGGAGCAGGAGGCAGAGCCGGTGCGGAACGGCGCCGAGAGCGTCTCGGAGGGCGAGGGCACCGACGGCACCTCGGGCTGCACCGAGAGCTCTGGGGAGGGGCCCCTGTACCAGTACAAACCAGGTAGGTCCTGCTCCATCTGCTGCTCTGCCTCCTCTGTAAGGGCTGCTGCACCCCGAGTGCCTTCCCTGGGGTGTTCACACTGGGGCTGGAAGGGGATTCAGTGTTCGCCGTGTGCAGCTCTGCCGAGAGCTGCAACCCAGCAAGCCAAGAGATCTTCCAGAGGGGCAAAAGGGGAAGAGGGTTTTTGTCTTGCTGGACATGCTCAAGAGAAGAAACAATCACTAATCCCTTGAAATGTTTGTGCATTTGGATGTTGGCTACAGCACTGTGGAAATGGCAGAGTTGATTCCTGTGTGATCGACAGCTGGAAACCATCCAAGAAATTCCACATAAACCAATATACTTCTGAAATAAGAGGTGGTTAAATAAGAAATGAAAGTGCTCATTGGGTCCTAAATACAAATATGTGTGTTCATAAAGATTTAATTTCCTGGCTAAACAGTTGCATGGATCTTTGCATTTCCAGAAAAGTAAAGAAAAGAACCAGTTTCTGGTTTTCAATCCAGGCACTGCCCAGTTCAGTCCCATTGATTATGGTATAGGATATCTGTAGAGCATTTTTTTGTTATTTATGAAGATCTAACCTTTTTGTTATTTATGAAAATTTTGTTTTTTATTGACCAATTAATCCGTCTCATTTAGAGAGAACTTGAGACCAACTTTTCAGTTGCTCCCAATTTTTAAGCAATTTCTTATTAAAGTGAAAATCCAAATAAAGTAGTCATTTTTTAATGAGCCCAGAAATTAAAGAGTGTAATAATAATAAGGAAGGACCTGGAGAACCTGATGGACAAGGAGCACCACCATTAAGGGACTTCATTGCAGTGGTTATTTGTGCACCACTTTGTTCTGACAAAGACCTCAATTGCTTTGGTTTTGTTAATTCAGCACAATCTTATTGTGAGGGGAAAACACAGAGGCCTCTTGATAGCTCATCACACTCAGGGTACCTGAGCAGTTCACTAGCCACTTCCTGAAGTTAATCCATAATTCATCAGCTGATGCAGTCAGAACAATCCCAGTTGAGTCCAGATGTCCTTTCACTCAGCTGGAAGGGTTGGATGGATCCCTGGCAAAGCAAAGGACATCAGACTTGTGCAACAGTCCTCGATTTCGGCTCTGCTCTTCTGAGAAAGGGGAATTTCTGCCTTTGGAGGAATTGTGTGTTTGATCCCTGTCTCTCCCTGCGTGGGGGATCCTTCCTGTGATGCTGCCCAGCTGCTCTTCACATTGAAACAGCTCATTGAGAGCTTTCCAGGGGAAGGAAACTACACCTAAACTGCTTGTTGTGTTGGAGCTTTTCCATGGTAATGACAGGTACAGTGGGCAGGCCAGGAATTCCAGCCAGGATCCAGCCAAACCATTTCTGCACCCTGTGTGCTGAAGTTCTGGAGAAATAAAACTGCATATAGAGCTAAAGTTTGCAATCACTTCTGTGTATTTTCATTCCCAGTTACTAAAACCCATCCTTGGAGTAAGTCCCTGCTCGTGCCCTCTGCAGGGGTGCAGATGGTGAGATCCCTGAGATCCAAAGGCAGGGGTCAGCAAGTGAAATAAAGGAATAATAAATACCTGAAGGGCTGATGAATGCCGAGTGATGCAGTCTGGCATGAGGGAGATCCAAAAGCAGTATCTCATACAGATGTTTTCCTTCAGATAAAACATGTTTTCTTCCCTAATTTCAAACAAACTATGTGGCCAGTGCTGAAAATCCTGTCTCCAGGCCACCAGAGGCTGACTTTCCTTGTGCTAAAGTGGCTGTAGGTTTATGCTGTGATTGCATCAGGCAGGGTACTCCACACCCCAAAACCCTCATGTAAAATAGGTGGAAAGTTGTAATTCCCAGATCATGGCCTGTGGTTGTGGCTTCACTTGTTTCTGCTTGTTGTCTGCAGCCTGGGTTGTTCACAGTTCATGGTTTCACATTTTCAAAGGGTGTTTTTGTTCCATGCTCTGTTCTCCTTGACTTCACGTTTATGACTTCCTTTTACACCAGACAAACCCCTTTATCCTTCTGCATTTTCACACAGAAACAGGGAATTGTTCCCATTCTACCATATCCCACAGGAGAGCAGAAGTCAAAGTTAGATACATGGGTTAGAACTGGAATTAGTGACCAGATCTGGCTGTGGCTGGACTTGGCTCTACACTCCCTGTTGTTCACATCCCTTTGATGTTACGTGTGTTTCCCTCCTCTCTCCCTTCAAAACAAAAATCAAATCAAATTGAACTGTCCCAGGCTGGTGCAGCAGCCTGATCCCTTTGGATTTCCCAGGAGCAGGGGTGAGCAGGGGGTTTGTTTCCTGTGACTCTCAGGGACTTCTCTCCCTATAGAGCAGTGGAAGCCCCTGGACCCGGAGGGGAAGAAGCAATACGACCGGGAATTCCTGCTGGATATCCAGTTCATGCCTGCCTGTATCCAGAAGCCCGAGGGGCTGCCTCCCATCAGCGACGTGGTGCTCGACAAGGTGAGAGGAGAGCCCATAAAACAGGTATGTGCAGGGTTCTGATATAAATAAAGATCCATAATGCCTCATTCCTGAGCCATTTCCGTGCCAGCTTTTAGTGGGAAGTGGGAATAGTTGGTCTCAGCACAAAATTCTACAAATAGAGGTGTTGGTGCCTGATGAATGTGCACAGATGATTAAAAACTGAAGCATTTTTGATGGTCTTTATCTAGATCAAGTTATACCAGGATGTTATTAAAATTTAAAATTACCCAGCCGTGAAGAGCTGAGGATCCAAGCAAGGCTGGATGGAGAGGCAGTGACTTCTATTAGATCAATTAATTGATCTATTAGATCAATTAAAAAGCAGAGAGAAGCTTTTGGGCAAACTGTTTTTTGATCTGAAGCAGTTTCTTCACTATTTATAAGCTGATCTGATAAAATATATTTAAGAACTCCATTCTCAGGCAGTTTTGGGATTTCTCTTCAGCCTCATCTCAGAGCTGATTGTGTCTGCTGGAGGTCTGGGCTTAGTGAAACACTTGGCATTTCTGAGTGCTGACACCAAGGCCTCGTTCTGCTCTCACTGGGAGCTGGAAAGTTCCTTGGCTTTGATGGAACCACGACAGCCTCACTTCTGAGACTCAGGGATGTGGGATCCTCGTGTGCAGAAACATTTCTGCTCTGAGTTTCATACCCAGGCAAATTGTAAAATGCAGCTTTATTGCCAATATTATTTCATCTACCTTTTACTTTCCCATGATTGTTTCTCACTGTTCTGTGTTTGAGCTTCCTGGGCTCAGTTGCCCATCTCTCATGTTGGCACAAAAGCCATTACTTTGAGGGAAGGTGGCAATTTCATGCTCCTGAACCAAGACAGGCCCGTGTTACTATGATTTTATCCTCCATAACGCTTGAACTGTTTCTGAGCTCCACCAATTTCCTCAATAGTCTCCTGAAGACGTGTTTTAAATTAAATGTTTATTTTTAGCATAAGTGTGGATGCCTAAAACTTGAGCAGTTTGTTAAAAGCTTTAATTTGGCTGTTGAATATGGCTGTCGTGGTTTGGCAGATGCTGTGTGTAGTTTGCATGACCTGAGCAGCCCCTGTGTGTGTGCTCTGCTCACGGCACAGGTCAGTCAGCCCAAACTGCCGCTGAGGACTCTGGACCCCCGGATCCTGCCACGAGGCCCCGACTTCACGCCAGCCTTTGCTGATTTTGGGAGGCAAGCCCCCGGGGGAAGAAACGTGTCTGGAAGTGTGAGTTTACCCCAACTTGCTCATTTAAAAACTGGCCTTAACACTGATGAAGTCCCTCCTCAGGCTTTTGGGCCTCTTCCAATGCGCCGGTGGTTCTGGTTTTGTCAGGACGGATGCAGGGGTGATGTTTGCTTGCCTGACGAAATGTGGGGGAATTGGAAACAGTTGTGGATGTTTGTCGCGGGTAGCTGTTGTTTGGGAAGGGTTCATCTCCTTCGTGTTTCCCTGTGTGAGAGGTGGAAGCGTTTCCACACCAGGACCCGTACGTGCGGCCGCGCGTTCGTCGTACAACAGACCCGGCGTCAGTGCGTCAGCCCGGGGGCTGTGCTGCAAAACACACCCACAGAGCAAAGAGTTTTACTAACAACCAACATACAGCCAGCACCTGTGTGTTCCTGCTTTCTCTGTGCTTCCACGTGTTGCTTTGGTCACTTCATTCCTTGTTTTCCCACCTTTTCCGCTGCTTTTCTTTCATTTTCCCTCTTCTCCCTGTGTCTGGCTTTGCCCACGCTCTGAAATCCCTCTGTGAGTTCTTCACTCGTGCCTCTGCCATGTCTTTTCCTGGGGCACAGGTGACCCCAGCATGTTCTACCCCATCAGTGCCACTGGAGGAGGACGCTACCACCATTAGAGGCAATCACTGATTATCAGCTGTTGAGCTGCTTCTGCTGTGTCCAACGACGCAGCCATTGTGGAACTTTCAAATCTGCTGGTTCCAGAAGAGTTCCCTGAATCACCCCAACTTCCAAGTGTGCAGGTTTCCAGGAGTCAAACCCAGTGATTTTGGGTCTTTGTGATAGTTCTGCTTTGGGAGCAGCCTCCTGGCCGGGGTTGCAGGCCTGTGTCCTGGAGTTGCCTCAGTGCCACAGTTTCTCTCGGAGCACCGCCTGGTCCACCGAGCCTGGCGAGGTCGGCAGTGCCTGCGGCGCTGGGGCCGCGCCGGCCGTGCCGCGGCGCCTCCTCTGCTGGCAGCGCTGGTGCCGCGAGCCCTGCGGCGCCCGGCTAACGCGGCTGTCGCTCTTTGTCTCTCCGCAGGCCTGCAAAGTGCAGAGCACCCCTGGATTGCCCTCCCTGGCTCGGTGCGGGCCCCCATCATGCCCTCTCTTGGTCTCGCCTCACCCACCATTGAGGAACCTGCCGATAGGGGTAAGCCAAATCCCCCCTCTCCCCCCAGACTTTGCACCTTTTTGTAGAGTTGCCTTTTTTCCCCAACACCCGCTGTTGATAAAGAACGACTGGCAGAAAACTTTACAAAAAGGTGCAACCTTGTTTAAAAAAAACCGAAACAAGACTTGCGTTGTACCCCTCTAGGCAGTCTTCAGTGGTGGGTGGGACATCACCAGCTGAGGGCATGCTGGGACGTTGGCCCGAGCGGGATCCGCGAGGGTCTGCACTTTGCAGACCTGTGGAAAGGGGGAGAAAAGGTAAGTCCCGCTTACCCCGTTCATTTGGAGCATTCAGCACGTAACATACATCTTACATTTGCGCCTTTGCAGAGCAGAGCCTCTCCTTGCCTTGTTCTGGAGGAGGGCTGGAAGGTGACGTGGTTTAACCAGCCTGTCCTCGACGCCGGCGGTTGTAGGATCAGAGGGTTCTGAGCCCAGCAATGCCAGACCTTCCCTCTCGTGACGCATGGCCACCCCTGCGTGTGCGCTGCCTGTCCCCAGCCATCCCACCTCTGCACAGGCCATGCCATGAACCATCAAACCACTGCCTCTTCCTTGCCCCAAATAACGTCGAGCAGCTCAGCGCTAACCGCTTCCGGCACGTTGAGAGTCTTTTGTTTTGCTTCTTTGGCTTTGTCTTTGTTTCCCTCTTTTTGCTTGAACGTGTTTTCTGACTGTCTCTGGCACTAACCAATGTTGCGTCGGACGGCAGCGGGGTGGAGGTGCACAGGCCAGGGTGCAGCTGGGGAGGCTCTTTGGTGTAGGCAGGGTTAGGTGAGCGTGGCAGATGAGGAGATGCACACTCAGAGATGTGGGGCTGGAGCAGACAGGTCCGTCCTTGCGCCGGCTGCGTTGGCTTTGTCCTTCCTGAGAGGTGATGGAAACTGAAATCACCTCAGTTCTTGTTCCTGGAAGGCACAATCCCTCCCACCATCGAAGATCAATTTCTCTGTCTGCATTCAAAGCCTCTTACAGAGGGAGAAGCACTTCCTCAATTCCTTGGTTGGTTTCTAAACTATTTCCATGACTTGCAGCCTGAGTGGGAGCACCAGGCCAGTCTATGCTGCTGTGAGTCTTTGGCTCCTCTGCAGGAGTCCTGTACCTCTGTTGTCCTGCTTTCCTTCCCTCTGTCTTCTCCTGGAAGAGAGGTCATTCAGATTAATGCAGGAACACCTGGTACTTGTCCCATGCTCCAGAACCATCATTATTTACAGGAAGCCAGGCCTGAGCTCAGGCACCTCTTCAACGTGCTGTATAAATCTGGAGCCAAAAAATCCCAGACCCCTAGACTATTTCTCTTAAAAGTTAGATTCATCTATTATGTTATTACATCTTCAAAGGATGCTTCTGTTCACTGATTGAAAACCTAATCACACAGTTTGAACTGAGTTTATTCACAGACATTAAAAACATACAGTCTCAAAGAAGGCCTTTGTTGTGTTGATGCTTGAAAGGTCTGGGCTCAAAGGCAGCCGGATGTGAGGAGGTGACAAGTGACACGCTGGTGCTCCGTGCATCCCTCAGTTTTCCAAGGGAGTCACCTCCCTCAGGGGTGGATGTTTGCTGAGAAGGAACATTTGCATGGACCCGTGCCTGAGGAAGTTCTGTGCCCGAGGAGGTGCCGGGCTCTGCGACTCCGTCCCCGTGCGTTACAGCCTGGCGTGTCTGGGAGGTCCTTCAGACCAGAGCTGCCTCTGCAGGAGATGGGGTGGCTGCAGGTCACCTCTCCTTGGCTTTGCCCCGTTCTGGGGGTGTGAGCTCAAAGGTTTGGGATTTCAGGGCACACTGCAGCCTGGCTCTGAGTACAGAGCTGTCCACGGGCAGGAGGTGTGTGCTGAGCTCTGGCACACATGCTGTGGCCAGTCAGTTTCTGTGGCATCATTGTTTGGTCCTCCAGCTGGAGGGAAGTGTCTTCTCTCCACGTTGGCAGCGTGGCCAGAGCCTGGGCAGCAGAACTGTGTAACACCAGAGTTGGTGTGTGTGGCAGGGCTGCTGTCAGGCCTTGCTGAGCCAGACTGGTGTCAGTCAGGGCTCAGGGTGGGAGAGATCAGTGTCTGCTTTAGGAAGGTGTCTGACACACAGAAACATCCTGAAGGCTCCCTGTTCCACTGTTGACTCCTCAGGAGTGATCAGCTGCTGTGGTTGCACTACAAGGGGTTGGACTTGATGATCTTGGCGATCTTTTCCAAGATAAATGATTCTGTGAATTACAGCATTCATGGGGCTTGTGCCCTGTGCAGTTTAAACAGTCTGCTGGGCTATTTCTGTGCATGGCAGGGGATGTGAACAGGGGTCTTTGTAAGCTGAGGGGAGCCCAGTGACACCCTGTCCCTAGAGCCCTCTCCCAGGCACTGGGAGCATGTCACCTCAGCATGAGGTCATTGTCTTCTGACAGCATCTTCCTCTGTTGCTGTTATCCCAAACAAGAGCTCCAGCACTGCTGGTGATCCTGCTCATTTGCACACATTTACCTTGTCAAAGGCAGGTGGTTCAGTTCCCTCCTGCCTTTAAGAATAATTTTGCCTTTCAGTAACCACAAACCCAGGTTTATGGTTGATGTATGATGTAAGAGGCACCAGCCAAGAGCCCTTTCCTCCTATTCATTGAAGCTCTTCAAGTAACTGCAGTGGCCTTTTTGATGCTCATTGAATCCCTTTGTTGAACAAAGCAGTCTTTGAAATGGCCCATCTTCCATGAGTGGCTGCTGAGCAGATTAATTACTGCTGTGGGAAGTACCAGATTTGATAATGGAGTTTTGCTGCTTTAATTTGTACCTTGAGGTTGGCCATTTGTGATAAATGAGTTCAGAAATGTGAAAGAGCGTGGGGGAAGAGCAACCTCCCAACAGCACCTGGTACCTTTGGTCCTTAATCAGATGATGGAGAGGAGGTTTGGGGGTGTCTTGTCCCCTGCCACTTGTACATCTGGTGAAAAACTCCCCAGCAGTGGCAGGTTTTGTGCCTGTGCAGGAGGAGCATCGCACATCACAGGATTGCAGAGGTGCTTAGGCAGTTCCAAAGCACCCTGATTCCCTTTCTTCTGTGAGACCACACAGAGTTTGTCCATACCTCTTAGGATCCATATTTTTCGAGTGCAGCATCCGCAGTGATACTCCTTCACTGTGTTTTGCATAATTCCCATCTCAAAATTGCTTTGTTGGAAGCAATCTCCAGTAAAACTTAACATTTCTGGCAGAACTGCCAGTTTATCACTGTCTAAGTGCTTGGGATGGCACGTTTGAAATACACCTGTAAGGGCTGAATTCTTCCACAGCTTGCTGTGGTGTCTCAGTTATGCAGTTCCTGATCCCAAGAGGCACTTTTGGCCAGTTGGGGTCAGTTCAGCGCCGCCGGGTTGTGTGGGTTGTGTAGGCAGAGTCATCCCATCTCTCTGTTGGGAGGAGCTGCCCAGAGGAGTGTGTTGGTGTCTCCACATTGCCTGGGAGCAGCCCGGAGCAGTGCTGGGTCAGAGGGGCTCCTGGTGTCCAGCAGGACGTGCTGGTGGTCAGCAGTGCCGTCAGTGGGTGTTGGTGTTGGCCCTGCATGTGTTACCCAGCGTGAGCTCAATGTGGGATATAACAGGGAATGTTTTTGTCCTAGTTGTTGAATGTTGGACCGAGGAGATCTCAGCCAGGCCAGAGGAGGGAGCCCAGGAAGATCATCACTGTGTGTGTGAAGGAGGATGTGCACCTGAAGAAGGCAGAGAACGCCTGGAAGCCGAGCCTGAAGAGGGAAAACCAAACGGAGGACCCAGAAAATGTCAAAACCCAGGTGAGAGCCTAAGCAGCTCTGAGGGTGCAGCAGCTGCCCCAGGTAATGGTAATTTGGCTTCCCTCTTGTATCAGACAGTGAAAAAGGGCAATGAATTCCAGTTGGAATCCCAGTTTTCCCCTACCTTGATGGTATTTTTTGTATGTTTATTCTTGACCTGGAGTTTAAATGCCAGTCCTGTATATTAAGCAGAGAACACCAGACAACCTCCTGTCTCTCTTCCAGGATTGCTTTCCTACTGCTGTTTTACTGGAATGTTTCTGTCTCCATTGTAATGCAAAGGGCATTACATTCCCAGCACAGAACTTAGTTTTCATCTCCTTTTAGACCACATTTCTTCCCTGAATCCTTAGCAAGACTGAGGTTCCTCTGTGAAATCCCTCAGTTGGTCCTGCCCAGCCCAATGGTTCTGTCTGAAGCTGCCTCTGTCCTCTCCCCTCCTCTCCTCCACGGGGCACTTGCTCTGGGAGGAGGTTTTTGTCTGGTGGTCAAGCTTGTAATTTGTAGGATAAGTTGGAATGGTCTTGAAGGACACTGGAATTCTGTTCTTGGAGCTAATGGTGGCATTGTTGATCTCATTATCATCCTGGATAGGAAAAAATAAAGTACCTTAAAGTGAATTATAGGAGAGGTTCATTACCTCTGGCTGAAGGAGACAGAGGCCAGTCCCTATTAATTTATATCTCATGGATTAAACTGATATAAAGAAGAGTATTTCTGACAGGAAGGGCTTTGTGCCTCTCCTTTGTGCCTCTGTTGCACTTGGGTGTTCCCAGAACTCCTGCCTATAGTCTTGGTCTTTGGTAGCCAAGTGAGGACTGGAGTTGGGCTGTTCAGAAACGTGTGGTGTGTCACTCAGCTTCCCAGACATTCCTACAGGATGTCCCCATTCTCGTGTGGGAAGCATCCTGCCTCACTCCTGAAACCCACCTGCCCCACGTGTGCCTGAGCTCGCAGCGTTTGTGTCCCTCAGGAGCTGTTCCGCAAGGTACGAAGCATCTTGAACAAGCTGACGCCCCAGATGTTCAACCAGCTGATGAAGCAGGTGACAGACCTGACGGTGGACACGGAGGAGAGGCTGAAGGGAGTCATCGACCTGGTCTTCGAGAAGGCCATCGACGAGCCCAGCTTCTCCGTGGCCTACGCCAACATGTGCCGCTGCCTGGTGACGGTAAGAGCCCCCCGGGAGCTGCCTGGGCTGAGGGGCAGCCACAGGAGCTGCAGAGAGCAGAGTGGTGGCTTCTGAGTGTAAGTAGGAATCATTAATGTGGAGTCTCTTTTGTTGGCCATGCCCAAGGCAGAGGGATTTGCTTGCAGCAGTTGGCGGGAGTTGAGGTCGCAAGATGAGTCATATTTGGGAAGTTCATGGAATCACAGAAGCATGCAATAGTAGAGGCAGGAAAGGGAATTTAAAGCTCTTCTCATTCCACCCCCTGCCATGGGCAGGGACAACTTCCGCTATCCCAGGTTGCTCCAAGCCTCATCCAACCTGGCCTTGGACACTTCTGGGGGGGGCAACCACGGCCGCTCTGGGCAGCCTGTGCCGAGGCCTCACCCCCCTTCTATGTCAGTTCCAAGGGAGCCCAGGATGAGCCAGGCTTTGCTCAGATCATTCTCAGGTGGTGAATTTGGGACAAAAGAGCCCCCTTTTCCCCAGGTCCTTCATGGCATGCAGTAAAGGAGTTGGCTTAAGCCTTCAGCACAGAGCAAGAGTGTTTTCAAGCAGAGAGTGTTTTTAAGGGATCATACGGATGGAAATGTAATTCATCCCCGGGTGGAGGGGTGTCAGCCAAGTTTGGAGTATGAGTTTACATCTGCAATGTAAAACTCCACTGGAAATCCTGATGTGAGGCTTTACTTTCACAATCTTGCAAAGCCACGCAGCTCAACATGAAGAGCAAAATAAATTGTTATGGATGACCCCTCCTCTGTGGAGTTTATCTCTATTTCTGCTGATGTTTTTCTTCCTTCTCTCTCCAGCTGAAAGTGCCCATGGCAGACAAACCTGGGAGCACAGTAAATTTCCGTAAGTTGCTGTTAAATCGCTGCCAGAAGGAATTTGAAAAGGACAAGGCTGACGATGATGTCTTTGAAAAGAAGCAGAAAGAACTCGAAGCTGCCACCACTGTAAGTGGTGTTTTTCTCCATAAGTTCTCAGAGCTCCCTCAGAAAATTATTTCCTTTTGAAACAGCAGTTGATTTGGGGGGATTTTGGAGTTGAGACTCTCATTCTGTCACTGTGCCTGAGGATAATAAGAAATATTTGCCTTGACATTGGGTTTATCCCAGCATCTTTCTGGCTTTAGGAGTAAAAGAGGGAACAATGTCTATAAACATAAAACTGGATCTTTCAGTGAGTTCTGTGCCCTGGGAACGTGGTTTTGCAGAGCTGTTTTCCTGCTTTACAGCCAGAGGAGAAGACACGGCTCCACGACGAGCTGGAAGAGGCCAAGGACAAAGCCCGGCGGAGATCCATCGGCAACATCAAATTCATCGGCGAGCTTTTCAAGCTGAAGATGCTGACAGAGGCCATCATGCACGACTGCGTGGTGAAGCTGCTGAAGAACCACGACGAGGAGTCCCTCGAGTGCCTTTGCCGCCTGCTCACCACCATTGGCAAGGACCTGGACTTTGAGAAGGCAAAGGTGGGGCAGGAATGGGAGCGAGGGATGAGCTTCTCCGGGCAGAGCTGGAAAAATGGGTGTGGGGTGTTTTTATTTGATTTGGTTTTTCTTCAGGAATTTCCATATGGCATGAGGAAATCATCCACTCCTCTGTGGATGTTTCGTCATGACCTGGCCTCGCTCCCTGCTCTGTAATACGTTCTGTATCATTTTCAGCTGTGTTCTCCAGTTGTTATTTCCAAAGATTTTATCCAAACACACAGCCCAGAAATGCTCAACATTTCCTTTTTCCAAGTTGAATGTCCCTCTTCCTTTGTAGTTCCCAAAACATTATTATTTCCAGTTGAAAGTTTATGTTACCTACAAAAGCCACCATGAAATGTGCTGTTCAGGTTAAATCTGCAACACCCTCATTAAGCAGTCCAAGCCCCCACCTGAGCCTCGAGGGTGCCTGTGTTTTGTGTCCAGATGTGCTGGGATGTGGCAGCTGTTCTGCATTCGCAGCACTCCTGCATCCTCCTCCCCCTTTTCCAGCAGATATATCTGTAGCACAGAGCACTGTGCACTCCAAGAGCTCCTCTTGGCACACCAGTCTGCTGCTCCTTCACAAAAACCAGGCTTGGGATGAGCAACTCGAGGGGTTTGCCAGGAATCAGTGGGACTGGGCTCTGGAAGCAAAGGGAGCTAATTGTTCAGCTGCCCCGGGCAGGGAGTTCCCTCTCCTCTCAGGGATCTCAGTGGATCAGTGCTGAGCCTTAGGAGAAGGAATTTCCCAGGCTGCTGTGTGAGCATTGACCAAACCAGCGTGGTTTATCAGCAGTCCCAGGCAAACACCCTGTGCTGTGAGCACAGGACCAGTGGGATTCAGTTTCTCCGTGTGCTTTGGGAGCAAAACCAGGTCTGGCTTCCAAGCTGAGTACGAGGTCTGGATGCTGTTTTGGTCTTTTGCAGCACTGTAAAAGCCAACATTTTAGTTCTGCACCCTCAAGCTGGGGCATGGTGGGGCACAGAGCAAGGGAGCAATTCCAGAGGCCTCTGTCCCATCTTTGGGATTGGTTATTTCTGTCAGGACTGAGAGAATCCTTCTGAATGGGGTAGACATTTTATTATGTGTTTTTATTGAAGCTGAACTGTTAGTCGTGGTTTAATTAAAATTTCTAAACAAAGTCCATTGGAAATACTTCCCTATCGTGCCCAACTTCGGAAACATTTGCTCCCAGAGCTGGAACTTTCCAAGGCAAGGCCAGACACAAATTTTAATGTATTTTTTTCTTGTTTCTTTAACTACAAGGACAAGGGTTTAGTTGTTTTTTAGTGAAGAGAATGGGAAACATGGTAGAAAACTGCTCTCAAACTCTTGTTTGAAACAACCAGAGGCCCTAATTTGAGAAAAAGGCTTTTTAGAGCTTGGTGAGCCAAATTTACACCTAACAGGAGCTTCTCTGCTGATCCAAATTCATGTCCTAATGTGAACCTGTTGGGTTTCCACCACATCATGATTATCTAGATGAGGAGTTTGTGGGGTTTTTCCCACAGCTGAGCCCATTAAACTGTTCTTGCAGAGAGACCCAGAGCTGCTGCTCAGTCTGGCCTGGCTCAGCTCGGGGGATAAACCATGGAATGATGTGTCCTAGGCTGGTTTTGTACCCATTTTTTCCCTGAGCCAGTTTTTCTTGGGCTGAGGTAAGCACACAGCTGATTTGAGGAGGGGAAGCTCAGATTGAGATAGATTTTTAATGGATGTAATGTTTATTATGTACGTGCAGAGGGTGTAGACAGTTTGTATAACTAAAAACCCAGAGAAAGTGTGTGCCTGCACAGTTGTGCCTCATCTCCTGCACATGCTGCCCTGTGCACCCTCAAATCCATCCTGGAGGAGTGTACCAGGCCCAGCACTCACCTCTCTGGGGAGCAGCCCTGAGTCCCTGATGTTTCCAGCACAGAAATCCCAGAATGCAGGACCTGCTGGGTGCCCCTTGAGTGTTTTCATTTTCCTGCACAGCGTGCTGATGATGTTTTCCTTGTCTAGCCCCGCATGGACCAGTATTTTAATCAGATGGAGAAGATTGTGAAAGAGAGGAAAACCTCCTCAAGGATTCGGTTCATGCTCCAGGATGTAATAGACCTAAGGCTGGTAGGTGCTGGCTCCAGTGAGTGAAAGTGTGAAATCATGGTGCCCAGACTGGTCTGGGTTGGAAGGAACCTTAAGGATCATCTCATTCCACCCCCTGCCATGGCAGGGACACCTTCCACTGTCCCAGGCTGCTCTAACCCCCTCCAGCCTGGCCTTGGGCACTGCCAGGGATCCAGGGGCAGCCACAGCTGCTCTGGGCACGCTGTGCCAGGGCCTGCCCACCCTCACAGGGAGGAATTCCTTCCCCATACCCCATCTCACCCTGCCCTCTGGCAGTGGGAGGCCATTCCCCCTTGTCCCCAGTCCCTCTGCAGCTCTCCTGGAGCCTCTTTAGGTCCTGGAAGGGCTCTGAGCTCTCTCTGGGACCTTCTGTCCTGCAGATGAACATACCCAGCTCCCATGCCAGTCTGTCATGTTCCCTTCCATATGCAGGCTGGATAAGTTCTCATGCAGGAGCAGGGGTTCACAGCTCAGGTGGGATGTTAGGGGAAGATCTGTTCCCCTCCTCCCCCCAGTCTGGCTGTCCCAAGCCAGGAGATGTCTCCATGTTGTCCTGGTGCTGTGGTCAGTACACGTGTGGTGCAGGGGGTCCCCACAGTGTGCAGGTGAAGCTGTGACCATGGGTGGAACAAACCTTCCCAGCAGCTGTAATTCCCCCCCAGGGGAGCTGGTTTGGGTTGTGTGGAGGCTGAAGTCACCATTTTGGCTGCAGGTAGATAATTACCCCAAGAGCTGTAATGAGGCTGCAGCGAGCTAAGGGACAGTGTGGTCATTCCAGGGCTGGAGGGGTCTGGGCACTGCATGGCTGAAAAGACACATCAAGCAAGGAAAGTGTTTTTGGAGTGACAGCTGCTCCTCTCTGCAGGATTCCTGTGTCAGCCATCACCATTCTTGGAGTTCAAAGTAGTGTCACAACTTAAAATCAGTCACTTCTTGCTTTTTTTAATTTTCATTTCTTCCCTCAGGCTTGGAGGAAAGGCTCCCACAAAGGGTATCAGTCATAAACAGAGTGACAGCATCTCTTCTCTTTCCTCTGAACCTTGAAAGAGAAGCTGGAAATATTCAGGCTGGGGATTAACATGTCCTGAGTTCAGTCAGGTCCTGGCTGCAGTCTCTGTAGCACAAGGCTCTGCTGGGATAACCATGTCCATGACGTGTCCCAGCTCCACAGGATTTTCTCCAGCCCCTCTAGGGCATGACAGGGGTGGGAGGATGAGGCCTCGTTCCCAATATTCAAACACCCCATGTTTGATGCTCTCCTGGAAGTTTCCCTGCGCACATGTTTGTTTTTTTTTGCTTCTTCCCCAGTGCAACTGGGTGTCACGGAGAGCAGACCAGGGCCCCAAGACCATCGAGCAGATCCATAAAGAAGCCAAGATTGAAGAGCAGGAAGAACAGAGGAAGGTGCAACAACTCATGACCAAAGACAAGAGGAGACCAGGTAAAGTGAAAGCCAAGTTGGCTGCTCATTTCACATCCAGTGGCCTTAGAGGGAATCCCACATAAAAGGCAAAAATCTCTGGGTTTTTTTTGTCCTAAGTGTAATGAGCAAAGGAGATTGGGGCAGAGGCTGGAAAAGGAACAGATCTGCCATGGATTGGCTGTGGGGATTTTCAGGGGCAAATCTCATGGGTGAAAATAACCAACCACAGGCCAACAGTGCTTACACATTCCATTCATGCAAACCACGTTTGATTTTGTGACAGGCTGCCAGAAATCTGTTCTAACAAGTTATTACTTAGGAGTCAGTTAGCCATCCATTCTCAGGCACTGCAGAGCCTCATTTCAAGAGAAAAACATCTCATTTCAGGAGTAACCGTGTTGTCTTTAGTTGTTAAAGTCATGAGGTGCTGACTCTCTGTGAAGGGGTGTCTTGGCATCACCTTAAACTGCTCCTGGCCCTCAGGGCACTGTCTGGAAATTAATTTGGAGTGACTGGGAAAACGAAGACTGGGACAGAGCAGGGCAAGGAGAAAGTAATTTTAGGGATTCTTTAGGCATTGGGGGATTCTCTAAGGATTGTCATATGAAAGTACTTTGAAAACAGGGTGTAAAGAAAATCCATGTAGACTTTAATTATCCTAAAAGTGACACCAGGACAAGGTGAGGAACCTGGGAGTGCCTGAGGGGCTCCGTGTCAGACCAGCCAAGTGCTGCAGGAATTGTGGGGTGAGGGAGGCTCTGGCCAGGGAAGGCATCTCGTCTCACCTGCTCCTTCCATGGGCTTGTGAACACACAGCTCCTGCAGGAATGCAGAGAAATCCAGCCAGGAACCATCCCTTCCAAAAGCAGCCCTGGAAGGAGCAAGAGCTGTGCTGTGAGAGCCCAGGCAGGCAGGCTGGCTGTGGCATGTCAGGGGAAGGACATTCCCCAGCAGGACCCTGCCTGTCAGAGCTGGGCTGGGCTGAGCTGAGCTGAGCTCCACGGGTGGACGAAGGTGGCTGGAACACTGTGCAGGGGGCAAAGAACAGCAGAGTGCTGGACCCCACCAAGTTCCTTAAAATCACCAAGGTAGGTGCCAGCACAAGCCTCCTTCAGGGCAATAAAACATCTGTCAGTCCAGGAAGGATCAGGACGGTGTGTGCAGGTGAAAACTTAGGGCTGGGACATGTTAAATCCTCAGAGTTAATACTGTGTGTAAATCAGGCTGCATTATCTTCTGGATGTTCCTGTTTTGTCCTGAGGGAAAGGAGTGTGCAGATTTTATTTCTTAGCTTCACAGTGTCCTTTTAGTAATCCACAAGCTCTCAGAGTCAGAAAATCTGCATTTTATTCAGTGATAAAAATGTGAGCCAGGGTATGGTGTGACATGGGTCTCAAACACACCTGGGAGTCTCAAACACCTGCTGGAAATCCTTGGCTGCCTCAAGTGCTAGAGACCCTATTCTGATGCTGCTCCCCAATAAAAAGTGTGCTGCATCTCCATGTGTGACATGGAGATGCAGCACAGCACCATGTTCCATGGGTCTCAAACACACCTGGGAGTCTCAAACACCTGCTGGAAATCCTTGGCTGCCTCAAGTTCTAGAGACCTTATTCTGATGCTGCTCCCCAATAAAACAGGGAGGCCACATCCTTTTTGATGTGTCACAAACAGCAGCACTCCAGCCTCAGGCTGCTCCAGTAGAATGGGAAGAGCTGTGTCTGCTTTAGGGTTTCTCGACTTGGTGGCATGGTTGCATCCCCCAGGATGTGATCAACTCTCATGTTCGTCCTGCAGATGAGCATCTTCCTGTTATTTCACCATTAAACTGGTAAATTTGGGACAGTTTTTCAGGCTGAAGGTTGGGCAAGTTGGAGATTTCTCCTTTGTTGAACTTCAGAACAGCTCTGGGCTTTCTTGCCAAGGAGAAGTCCAGCCTTTGCATAAATCATTGACTGCTAAATACTCCCTTGTCCCATTTAATGTCACTTGCCCTGAATTTTTACACTCAGTGCCTGGATTCTTGGAGAGCTGTAAAGCAGGACCTGGACAGACTGCAGCCCTTCTGCAGATCCAATCAGTTTGTTCCTTCTGAAACTCATAAAACAGTCTCCAAAACTTCATTAGCAGGAGAGGCTCAGCCTCCTCCTGCCTGGCCTTACAGCTCACCTGGGAAAAGCCCTTCTCCTCTGTCCCATACAAATGGAGCTGGTTCCACAGCAGCTGCTTTGGAAGGAGAGAGGAGCTCCCCTGAGATCTGCGAGGTCACAACCTCCTTGTCAATAAATTCTCCCACTGAACATTGTAAAATCAATTTTCTCTTCTTGCCAGACACCACTTCTTCCTCCAGGTTCTGTGACCTGTAGTCATCCTTTGCCCTCTGGATTGTTTGGTGCCCTGCAGGTCCCCCCAAAGCCATGACTGGAGAGTTGATGGACAGTGAAACTGGCTTACACATCACTAACAAACTGAACTTCTTTCAAATCTGGATATACTGAGCTTTTCCACCTTCCTGAGCTTCAGAATTCCCAATATAAAGAAGCTCCTGCTCACTGTGAACGTCTCTCACTGACAATTGGAAGAGACTCTGGTTGTTTGTGTCCCCTGTCTCAGGCCACACTTTAGTCTTCCAGAAATATGTGAAGTGTGTTTTGGTGTTCACGAGGGAGATTTTTTACCAAAAAATCTCCCATTTATTTTTACACTGCACGATTTGCCCTTTCAATTGTACATCCTGGTGTGTTTTACAGCCCACAATAGATGAGAAGATTCAGCTCGTGCCTAAAGCCCAGTTGGGCAGCTGGGGGAAGGGCAGCAGTGGTGGAGCCAAGGCAAGCGAGATGGGTAAGTCAGGATGGACCCTACCCTCAGCTTTGCTGCTGAAGAGCAGGTCTGGGTGGGGTTCACAGAGTCATGGGGTGTCCTGAGCTGGAAGGGACCCACAGGGATCAAATCCAGCCCCTGGCCCTGCACACACACCCCAGCAATCCCAGCCTCTCCAAACCCTCCTGCAGCTCTGGCAGCCTCGGGGCTGGGACCATTCCCTGGGGAGCCTGGGCAGTGCCAGCACCCTCTGGGGAAGAGCCTTTCCTGATCTCCAACCCAAACCCCCTGGCCCAGCTGCAGCCCTGCCCTGCTCCTGTTCCTGCTCACAGGATCAGAGCTGCCCCTCGGGAGGAGCTGCAGCCCCAGTGTGGCTCCCCTCTGTGTGACCTCCTGGCAGGAGGGGCTGAGGTGGGGCAGGCCCAGCCTTTCCCTGCACTTCTGTCCTGGCAGGAGGGGCTGAGGTGGGGCAGGCCCAGCCTCTTCCCTGCACTGAGTCCCCGTGGCTGCACTGAGCTCTCGGTGGTGCTGAGCCAGCAGCAGCTCCTGACCGTGTCGCTCTGCTCTGTGTTGTCTCCACCATCTCCAGACTCCTTGCGACCAAGTGCCACAAGTCTGAACAGATTTTCTGCCCTGCAGCCTCCAGTGTCCCCAGTATCTGCCTCATCTGCATCCTCAGAACTAGAATCTCGCAGGGCCTTAACGAGGTGAGTGTCGCTCCACCCTCTTCCCTGCTGCCCTCTGCACCCCTGCTCTGGCTCCAGCACTTGGACAGAAGAGAATTCCTTGCTTTTCCAGGAATGGCTGGCTCCTTGTCTCACTCTGAGTTAGCTTTGAACACACCTGTATTTTATAATGTCATAGGAGAGAGAGGTGGAATTAATTTTTAAAACCATTTTGATTAATGTTTTAGTTGCCACTTCACCCTTCAGCCAAGGGTAGTTGTGTTTAACAGATTAAAAACTCTTCAGATAAAAGGTAGTAATAAATAGGTTGGATTTAATGGCTGTGAATTCAGCCAGGTCAGTAGGTTTATTTATCCAGGAAAACACACCTAAAACCTGGCAGAAATGCAGCATAAAACCATGTGTGACACTTCCCAGCAGGTGTGACCTGCCCGTGCTCCCACATCCAACAAAAAACTGCAGAGACTCTCTCTCACTCCAATTCCTTCAGGGCTGCAGCCACTCCAGCTTGGAGCATGAAACATGCATTAACCCTCAATAATTTATTAACTCTAGACACAGTTTATAAATGTACAGCTCATTTAAAATGTCACTGGATCTTCCTTCCAGTGCACACAAGCTGCTGAAGTGTTTTCCTGCGTTGTGCCTCTATGTTTTCCCTCCTATTTAAAGTAAAGCTTGGGTTTACCTGGAAATTATTCCATTATGGCATCATTTTGCCCATCTTACTCATTAACACAATAATTAATGGAACAGATCGTTGTCACCTGTTGTTGGGAGCCTTCACTGTTTGGGAGGTATTTTTCAATTAATGGGTAAAAAATACAACTCCCATGGAATCACAAAATGTTTTGGGTTGGAGAGAGTTGAAGGATCACCCATTCCCAGCCCCTGCCATGGCAGGGACACTTTCCACTGTCCCAGGCTGCTCCAAGCCCCCTCCAGCCTGGCCTTGGACTCTCCCAGGGATCCAGGGGCAGCCACAGCTGCACAGCCACCCTGTGCCAGGGCCTGCCCACCCTCACAGGGAAGAATTTCTTTGTTACATCTAATCTAAAGCTCTCACACCATTTCAAAGGGAAACAGAGTCCATGTGTTATAAAATTGACTATTCCATGTATAAAAATGGGTGCTGTAGAGCATTGCTTTTCCATATGTTCTCTAGGAAGCATTGGCTGTTCCAGTCCACTCTGAGTATTTGTGTTTGTGCATCCCTGAAATTGAGTTAATTTTGGCTGTGGGTACAGCTGTAAGAAATGGAGTGAACAATCCTGCAGGGCTTGGGGGGTGTTTTTCCCCTCGAGGGCAGTGAAGCCCTTGAGTCCCTTTCCTCCCCTCTGAGCTGGTTTTTGTTTGGCAGTCGTGGGAGCACGGGCAGGGAGAAGAACGACAAACCTCTGCCACCTTCCCTGTCCCGGCCCAACACCTTCCTGAGGGGCAGCAGCAGCAAGGAGCTGCTGCTGGACAACCAGGCCCAGGAGGAGCAGCGCAGGGAGATGCTGGAGACGGTGAAGCAGCTGACAGGGGCCATGGAGATGGACAGGAACAGCAGCGAGGCCGAGAGGAACAAAGCCAAGGAACCTGGTAACAGCTCCTCTGTGCTCGGGGAGGCTTGCTCAGTGTGTGGGAAGGCACAAGGGAGAACCTGTCAGGAGCAGGGACAGGTGTGTGCAGGGCAGTGCCAGGTGTGTGTGCAGGGCCCTGGCAGTGCCAGGTGTGTGTGCAGGGCCCTGGCAGTGCCAGGTGTGTGTGCAGGGCAGTGCCAGGTGTGTGTGCAGGGCCCTGGCAGTGCCAGGTGTCTGTGCAGGGCACTGGCCATGCCAGTTGTCTGTGCAGGGCCCTGGCAGTGCCAGGTGTCTGTGCAGGGCAGTGCCAGATCTCTGTGCAGTGCCCTGGCAGTGCCAGGTGTCTCTGCAGGGTCCTGGCAGTGCCAGGTGTCTCTGCAGGGCCCTGGCAGTGCCAGATCTCTGTGCAGTGCCCTGGCAGTGCCAGGTGTCTCTGCAGGGCCCTGGCAGTGCCAGGTGTCTCTGCAGGGCACTGTCAGGCTGCTGCAGCTGGGATGCAGCTCCCAGAACTGGGTGGCCCAGCTGGTTCAGGCAGGCCTGGGCCTTATCCCTCTCTGCAGCTCCTGTAGGATCCAGTGGGGCTCAAGGGCTGCAGGTGCCAGCACAGCATCACCCCTGGCATTGTCTGCCCTGATTTATCCTGCCACTGTCCCACTGGCCTCCATGCACAAAGGCCCCCAAATCGGTGTCAGTTCTTCAGGAATGCCTTCCCAGTGCCCAGTAAAGCCATATCTGCCCTTTTCAAGCATTCCCCAGGGCTAGGGCAGGGATCAGGGTCTGGGACAGATGGTGCACAGCAGCTTTTTAGCATCGTGTTGTTGCCAGCCCTCCTGCCAAGCCAGCCCTGGTGCAGCAGGATGGTGGCACCCACCAGGGTGACTCGTCTGTCACCTTATCAGTCCTGCAGCTCCTGCTTTTCCCTCTGCTAGCCTGGGCTGATCTGTTAGTGGGAAAATGGGGACACTAGGGTGATGTTCCCAGTGGACAGAACCTTTATAGTAAGGACAGCACTCAGCTCCTTCCCTGGGACACATCTGGAAACTGCTGCAGTGAGGGAAACACCTCAAATACCACAGCACAGCACAGGCTCATCCTGAAGCTTCAGGATGTTGTAGACAGTCCATGGGGACCAGGACTGCATTTGGGATGTGACTGGGAGATTGCCTTGGGCTGCTGCCCATTGCAGTCAGCACATTTTAACTTTGCTGCCACAGCTCCATTTAATTATTTAATGTTCGTGCGGAGCTTTGAAGGTGTTTGACCTGTGCCACTGCCAGCTGTGATCCTGCAAGGTCAACTTACAGAAATACTGAGAGTTCATATGGGGAAAAGTAGCCAGGAAAGAATCCCAAAATCCCAGAATGGTTTGAGTTGGAAGGAACTTTAAAGCTCCTCCAGCTGCAGTCCCTGCTGTGGACAGGGACACCTTCCATCTATCCCAGCTTGCTCCAAGCCCCATCAAAGAACTGCCCTGTGCCTGAGGATGGGACAGGGGACACACCTGCCCTATTGACTTCTGTTCTCAGAATGTCATCTCTAAAATGCTGATTTTCCTTTTCCAAACATCTTTTGTTGTTGTATTTCCACCAGCCAAGCCAGAAGTTCCCCCAGCTCCAGTGCAAGAAAAGCCTTCGCTATCAGAAGAGGAAATAGAGAGAAAATGCAAATCTATCATTGATGAGTTCTTGCATATTAATGATTTTAAGGTAAGCAAGATGAAAGGCTCACTTAACAGCCAGCTCTGAGGGGCAGCAGTGATTTCTCTCCAGGGGGAGCACACAGGGGCAGAGGGGCTGGACAGAGCCCAGGGGCAGCAGCAGCTCCAGGGGCACTTCCAGCACAGTTGTCTCCCAAGATTGTTTTCTGCCCTGCTGGTAATAGGCAAAATAGCCCAGCCTGTGTGTTTTAAGTAGCAAGATGGATGTGTATCTGTCATGAATCACTGAGCAGCTCCATAATACCAGCAATTTTGGAAGCAGAAAAGCTAGTGGGAAAATAAACAGAGGTTTTCATTTAGTTATCAAAGCATGTGCTGTTCTGATCTGGAGGCAGATAAAGCAATACTAAATATTGAACAAAACACTCCAGAGGATTTTTAATAAACATTGGAAATTACTGAGCAGCTGTCATCACTTCCTAGTTAAAAGGTTGAAATTTTGTTTCCCTTGTAAATGGGTTTTTTAGCTCGTCCAGGGAGTTTGCAAGAAGTGTTACATTGGCTGCAAAGCTGCTTCATTTGATCTTTCACTGAAATAAATTTTCAAACCTGCCAAGTTTGAAATGGCAGCACTTGGGAGTTGCTGGTTTGGCACCCTAAAAGCAGAGTTGCTGCTTCCATTTCATTGGACTTCCAATTAATAATTGGAAAGAGGAATATTCTCATCATGGATTGTTTAGAGTTCACATGTAGTTATTGGGATAAATTATTAAATACTTGGTTTGGAGAGGAAAAACCTTGCTCTGATTGGCAGTGAGCTGGCCTGGGACCCAGGGGCTGGTGAGCCAAGGAGTCTCTGCTCTTTTTCCTGCCCAGGATGGACTCCAGAGGCTCCCCTGGCTGCCTGTGATGAAGGGACCTCTTCAGTTCCCTGTTTGCAAATACAGCAATGTATTTCTGTGGCTGCCTGGAAATGGAGCTGAATTGCATTAGACAGGGCAGGGCTGGTCAAAAGCCCATGGAATTGAGGCAGCTTGTTTGCATCAGGAATTACTTGGTCCTGGGGGATTCTTGGTGCTCTTCAGGTGCAGCAAAGCTCTGACTGCTTAAACTCATGTTCCTGCAGCCCCCCGTGAGTGAGCCCTGCTGTGCAGAGCAGAGAGCAGCCCCTTGCAGGGCTTTGGTCCTCAGTCTGACCTGACCACGAGCTCAAACTGCTGAGCTGTGACCCTGGTGACAGCAGGGCTCCCTGTGTGTCCCAGGACAGAGGATCCTCTGATGAGCTCCAACCCGAGCACACAGGCTGGGACCAGCAGGAAAGAGCCCTGCAGGGCCTGAGGAAACACATCTGGGGCTGCCAGCTCTTGGTAACTCAGGGCACAGTCACAGAGCAGGTGCCTGTGGTCAGGAAGGCCACTGAGATCTGTGGGCTCAGAGGTCCCTGGAAGGCCCTTGTGATGGTAGTGCAGATTTTTGATGTGGGACTTCGAGAGCTGCTCTCTAAGTCTCTGAGTGTTTCTTTGTTTAGGTTGCAAAATGCTCAAGTCAGAAAGTGGGAGCTTTAGAAAGGGGAAATCTTCTCCAAGTGCTCCCCAGCTATTTTCTGCTTCTTGATGGGCTGTGGGTTTGTAACACAGGCATTTGTGCCAGGTCAGATCAGTAACAAATCTGATCTGATACCCTTTTCTTGACTTGATGTTCGATGTAGTAATCAGTGTTTTGGTGGCATCCAGAAGATAAGTCCTGCCATTTCACCAAGCAGCCCTGGAATGTGATTGTGTATTTGAATTGTTACCTGAGTGGTACAAATTCCATTATTGCTATTACTGTTGTTTTTGTTATTATTATGTGATGAGGTTCCACCACCTAATTGAGCACTTTGCCTGGCAGCCTCGCTAAATCCTCATTTCACTAAAAATCCCCAGTGTTGCAGCAGGAAATATTCCTGTGCCACGTGTGCTGCTTTTCAGCTGGGGGTGACTGCTGTGTGTCGTTCCACAGGAGGCCATGCAGTGCGTGGAGGAGCTGAGTGCCCAGAGCCTGCTGCCCGTGTTCGTGCGCGTGGGCGTGGAGTCCACGCTGGAGCGGAGCCAGATCACCAGGGATCACCTGGGCCAGTTGCTACATCAGCTGGTGCACTCAGGAAAGCTGAGCAAGCAGGATTTCTTCAAGGGGTTGGTATTCTGCACGGAGAATCCACAGATTCTTTTCCCCAGTGTTTCTTGTAAATGGATGCTGTGCTGCAGGGAAATGATCTCCCACCTTGTTTTGGTATCCTGCCCTCTCCACACATTCTTTTGGAAGGGCTGTGTCATCTCAGTGTATTTACAAGGAATATTATTATTGTAATATATTTTAAAATGTTTCAGATGCTGTAGTGAACATAAATACATTCATATTTATATCAGCTTTTATTTTGAAGCAGATCTGTAGGTGTCTGTTGAAATGTGTGTGCTCAGATCCCTGTTCTGTGCTGCATTTCTCCCTGTTTGCCTTTTGCAAATCCCTGAATGTAACTGGAAGAGGAGGCAGGCAGCAGCTGGGAGCTCTGAGCTCCTGTGCACACAGACCTCAGCCTCTGTCCCAGTGGGAAGAAGGCTTCACCCACACCATGCCATGTCCAGGACACCTCAGCTGGAGGGCAGAACCCTCGAGGGGCTGAGGAGAACACACAGCAGATGAGCTGGACCTGCTGAGAGAGACCCCAGTTTTGGCTGCTGGCTCCTTTCAGCTCCCTGAATTTTGTGTTCCCAGCCTGGTGTCCAGTCCTAAAACAATCCCTGTTCCCATGGAGGTGCCTGGTGGCACTCAGTCCTGCCGGGTGCAGAGCAGGAGGGATAAAACAGGGATAGGCACAAATGCAGCAGTGAAGGAGCAGGTGGAGTGTACTGAGTTTCTGAGGAGTTGGATCTGTCTGGCTTTAATCTGAGTCCCTGTCATTGTGGTACCACTGACTGCTCCAACAGGAAACTCCCTGCACCCGTGTCTGTCCCTGAACTTCTTCCAGCTCACAGGAAAGGTTTAGGAAGGCTGAGCTCAAAACAGTATAGAACAGCTGAAAAAAATCGAAATCCACAGGAAATACTCTTGTGTTCACACGGCACTGATGGTCAGAGGGACTCGTTTGAGGTGATACACAGCCAAAATGTGTTCTGGTTAAAGCTGTTATTGAGCTTCCTGGAGTTTGGATAAGTGGATCTTGATGAAGTATTGGGATCTGTGCTCTGAATGTGACATAAACAATGTGAAATAACTCATAAGATGATGGAAAGGGCAAGTGGTGTTCAGTGGGTGCTGAGGAGAACATCAGAAACCACCACACAGGAGAAGTCTAATGAGGGATCACAGGATGAACAGTGGTCCCAGCCCACGGCTGGGGAGATGAACAACAGGAAAACAAGCAGAAAGGCTGGAGGAGCAGCAGAGGTTGCAAAGAATAAAGCAAAGGAGATGGTTCCTGTTTGAAACACAAGAAAAAAAAGTGGATTTATAGTCACTAAACAGGACACCGGACTTCTCAAGGTTTTCAGGGAGAAACAAACCATGATAGGAACTGGCAGGAGAGCAGAGAAATTACCATCTCCCAGGCATGGGAAGAGAAGCCACCTGTAAGGGTTTCATGGGAAAGAAGAGTTTTGAGCCATTCTGGAAAGTGTGTCACTGGGGAGCACTCCTGTAATTCCTGCTGCAGATAGAAACTCTTCTCTGCTGAGCTGAGTTCTTACAGACATTTCACTGCTTACCTTACATTTGGAATTCTGTTAGGATTAACCCCCTTCTCTAAATGTTTGGATATTCTTAGGAAGCTTTCATTTACTTGATGGTTTATATATATAGACAAAAAAGATTTTTAGTTTGATAGATGTTACTGTTTAGCAAGTGGTTTGGTACTGGGATATAAGAATTATTGTAACTGGAGGTTTCCTGGATGTATCTGTTGGGTCTACAAAAGGTGGTGTCTTTTCCACATATTCTCCTTGTTACTGCATGGAGAAATTCAGTCTTGGCTGTTTGGAAGTACCAAAGACATAAAATGGCAATAGGTTTGTTTTTTGTTACCTTTGTGATTGTCCTCACTCCTCTCTCTCTTCACTCCTCTTTTATATTGCAAAATATCTTTAAAGTGCAGATTGCTTTGAAGGAAATGTCTCCAGTTAATTTTTTTTTAATAGTTGATGTATTTTTCTCCTCCTGAAGTTTTTCTGAGACCCTGGAGATGGCGGATGACATGGCCATAGATATACCCCATATCTGGTTGTACCTGGCTGAGCTGGTGACCCCCATGTTAAAAGAAGGAGGAATCTCTATGAGAGAACTTACACAGTAAGTGATGCTTTCCCAGCTGTGCCTGTAGTGTTTTCTCAGCGTGGTTCCCATCAGCAGGTGAAGGATGAGCAGTGCTGGAGCCTCAGCTCCCCCAGGAGAGCTGTTGCACATCCTTGGGGCCCCACAGCAGCCTGAGATCTCTGCTGGGAAGGGAGCTTGGTGCATTCACCCTTGGAGAAGGGTTTTATCCATAAGTCTGCTGTTGGTTCCAGCTGAGCTTAAAAACACCCCAGTGCTGTAGATGGAGCCATTTGGGAGCACAGAGGCTCTGGGAATTAGACTTGCAGAGAGTGAGGTATTGCAGAGGGGCTGCCTGGCTCAGGGGTGACTGAAGGAGGGCTGGGCTAGGTGGGACATTTGGAATAAATTCCCCTCTGTGAGGGTGGGCAGCCCTGGCACAGTTTGCCCAGAGCAGCTGTGGCTGCCCCATCCCTGGAGGTGTTCAAGGCCAGGCTGGATGGGGCTGGGAGCAGCCTGGGACAGTGGAAGGTGTCCCTGCCCAAACTGGGATTCCATGTCTCTGCCACCTGGGCACTGCCTTAAATGGGCACAAAACCTTGTCTGCAACACCAGAAAGCATTTTCTGGACTAGAATTCCTGTATTTTCTATATGTCCTTACATATTTGGGGATTGACTGTGAGCCAGTTGAAATGTTCCTATTTCTATTAACAGTATATTAAGAAAATAAGTCTTTTCCCTCTACCCAAGTGCAGCATCCCACAAGAATGAGTGGGTTTGACATAAATATGACATAATTTTAAATGTAAAATTAAAGTCTTTGTAATTAGCCCTGTTGTGACAAGGTCACTGCATCACTAAATGTTTTATGAGCAGTGCTGGATTAATCAAATCCTTCCTCCCTGTCAGAAGTTAAAGGTGATTTCCTGCCTCAGTTTGATCACTACCCCTGGATTTGCATCCCAAATACGAGTTGTAACAGAAAAACACCTGTTTTTCTTTTAATTCTAGAGAATTTAGCAAACCCTTGCTTCCTGTGGGAAGAGCCGGCGTCTTGCTTGCTGAAATCTTGCACCTTCTATGCAAACAAATGGTGAGTGCCCCTGCTGCTGTGCTCTGCAGGGAGCAGTGCCTGCAGCGCTCGTGCTCATGCATGAAACCTTCACCATTCCCACGTGAGGACATTTAGGGATGGGCCAGCCAGTCCAGATAACTTAGGAAACCTGCCTCGCACCCCCAGTTTCCAACCAAGCCTTACGAGGTTCCAAAAAGTTGAGTTAACTTTTTGTTTTCTCATCGCTTTTCCCTTTTGCAGGTACCTTTGCACCTGGCTTCTCCCAGAAGCTAAGAGTGCTGAAATACTGCAAGAGGGACATGCTCAAGGGATTTCTGGGCTGACCAGAAGCAGCAAGTGCCGGGAATCTTGCGAGAGAACTGTTCTTGCAGACCGGAGAGGTTCTCAGGGTTCGGATAAGCTCCCGATGCCTCAGACTGCTGTGTGCTTATCCAAAATAACCTGCCGACTCTTGAGGTTCACCCAGCACTGGGGTAGTGACACCTCCTCACCCCGTGACTCCGAGAGCTCTCTTTCACACCTCACAGCTGCGTGTCCAACCAGTTTGGTGGTTTCCCTATAACTCATCTCCATTTTTGTCCTTTTTTTTTTTAATCCAGTTAAATCCTGCACTTTGGATAGTGTCTATTTCCAACCCTGTAAAATCCCTCACTTGCCTTTTTTTTTTTTAATTTTTTCAAGCATGCATTCAAGTAATGTTGAATGTTCCAGGAGCATTTCAGTCCAACAGTGCAAAGAGTGACTTTTTGTTCATTTATTTTAGTCTTGTGCTTGTTTGGACAGTCAACTTCCTTTTTTTTTAAAACTATTCTGTGAAAGAAAAGCTGCTGTGCTCTGGGTGTGGAAGCACAGCCTTGGGTCTCTGTTTCTGCCACAGCTTTCTGATCAGATCTTGTCCAGGCCTAGACATGGACTCGGGTATTTCAGGGTAACATCAGCCATCTAATCCAGATCTTGGTGGATCAGAGCAGGAATTATGCACAGTTGGCTCTTAACAACTTGTATTGTAAACTGAAAATCGTAATCTGCTTTGTAAACTTAAAATCAGGCAGCATTTCTCAGCTTGACTTAGGCTACTCAGTGATCTCGTGTGAGCAGGTGCTGTAAGGTGAAACTTTGGCAAAGCATTTGGGTGGAAAGAGCTGGTTGTGCTCAGCATTTTTATTCTTGTCAGAACTGTGTGTGTCAGAACTGTGCTCTCTGAGGCAGGAGGCTCAAAGGTCAGTGTGACATTAGAGGCTGCAAAAGGCTGAATTGTCTGTGCTCAGGGGCACTGCTCTCAAGGTTTGCATAAACTCTAGGAACTGAAGAGAGAATTTGGGATCATGTGCCTGAATTTGAGGCTTGGTCTCTGTGCAGAAAACAGCCATGTAAATGAGGATTTTTCTCAAAGGAGCAGTTTGCCAGGGCCTTGCTGTCAAGGCAAGGGAGTGTGAGTGGTGGAGCAGGTCAGAAGGGTGTGAGCCAGGCGTGGGAAGGTGCCCTGTCCCCCGTGTCACTGCCCCGGGTGACCTCGGAGCTCGCTGCGACCCCCCTGTGTCACTCCTGCCTTGCCCATTGCCCGTCACAGGCGCTGCCCACCTGACAAGATGTGCATTCCCGGGGGGATTGCACATGTGGTTCCTGCACGGGGTCTCCAGATGTTCTCACTCATTGCCAGCTGTTTGTTGGGTGGCTGAACTGTCCTTTATTCCTCCTGGCACAGCTGCACCATTCCGGCCCTGGGAGCTCCCCGGGTGTCCCTCAGCTCTAAATGGACACACTGCTTGTGTTTCAGAGCCATAAGAAAGTGGGAGCCTTATGGAGGGAGTCTGGCCTCAGTTGGAAGGACTACTTGCCCGAAGGGGAGGATGTACATACCTTTCTCATGGAACAGGTGAGTTCACATCATTTCTTTGATCATCCTGTTCATCCTCTTCCATCCCATTCTTAGGCACAGTTGGAATATGGGGTGAAGTGTCTCCAGTTTGGGGTAGATGATTTCAGCACCACCTTGTGAAGCACAGGGAGGACAAGTCTGTCCCTGCTGCTCCCAGGCACACATCTCCAGTCACCTGGCTTCCTCTAGGAGACCTGTTCTCTCCAGCTGGGAAAAAACATTCAATAATGAGTTTTGGAGTAAGGACAGACGATCTGCAAAAGGGCCACAATTAATGGTAGCAGTTATTCACTCATCCCACCTTGGATTATGGTCCTGGAGGGAGCCAGGACTGATGGAGGCACCTCACCTCTTGCTGTGCTGCTCCTCAGGAAGTCACTGTCTCCCTCTGGATCTTTGAGTGATCCACTGCCCTGTTCTGGCACTTTGGAAGTGCTGCAGGAAATGAAATTATTACCATGGCCTGGGCCTTGCTGAGGGGACTGCAGCTCTTCTGTCACAGTTTTCAAGGAATTGGGGCATTGGCTGCAATTCCTTTGAGCCAGTGCCAGCTCTGGTTGTTGCATTCCAGCCCCTATAGCTCCAGCCAGGCAACACACACTTGGTTTTGTGCTCTGCTGTGCAGGCCTGGAGCTGCCTGAGGTTCCTCCTTGTCTTTGCTGGATGATGGAGTTCCCATGTGTAAAATGCTTCCTAACCTTTGGAACAGGGAAAGTTGATATTGTAATGATAACTGAGCAGCTGAAAGATGCCAGGAAGCAGAATTAAATGTAGTTTCCTGCTTCAATCTGGTGTAATTCAGCCTAGGAAAGTACTTTTCACTAATTCTCATCATCACATGTGGCGTTGCAGAAGTTGGAGTTCACGGAGTCTGACTGTTCCAGTTCCTCAGAAGCACTTTCAGAGAAAGAACTGTCTGCAGAAGAGCTGAACAAGCAGCTGGAAAAACTCATTGTTGAGGACAAGGCGAATGATGAACAAATCTTTGATTGGGTAGAGGTACAAAGAGATTCTCACCCTCCCTGCAGACTGTTTAACTGCTTTTGTAAATATGTTCTGGTCTGAACATCTCAGGGGATGGGACACTGCGAGGATTTGGTCTGTGCAATCAACACTTCCAAAGAATTAAAATCTAAAATATAATCAGCATTTAAGAGTCAGGTTCAGGAAGGAAGGCTTTTAGCCATATTAACTGTGTAACCTTTTAAATGCTGTAGACTTTCTGACACTGCTTCTGCCACTTAGTAGATTTCAGATGTACACTGCTACATCGTTTCTTCATAAAATAGGGAAGAGAAGCTTTTCGCTATTTTTCCCCAACATGACCTGTCCTAATTTCCCACTGTAAAAAACATCCTGGGCAGTCACTGAGAGCACCTTTTCAGTGCACTGGTCCAGGCACTGGAAGAGAAAATAAAAATAAAGAAAAAAGAGAGAAAAAGGCCTATCAACCCACTGGTCTTTGCTCTCAGTCTCTGGCTGCCTTCTTTAACTCAGATGTTTGGTGTCTGAAATTATACCCAGCCTATGCATTTACATCTGTGCTTGTACTAAATCTTGGTCAGCTTCAGTTCAGTTATTTCTATGGCAGAGCAATGTGTTAGAAATGTCATTTTTCCACTGCTGTTAGAGGAGTTGAGAGTGGAATGAAAGCAGCACTGAAAATCTGGGATCACCCACAGGCTCTTTGGAGCCTTGGACAGTTTCCACAGCCATTCCCTGAATTTCTTTTACAAAATAAACAATCTCCACCCAAGGAGCACGCTGTAAAGTTTGTTGGAAAGCCCAAAATTCTTTGAGTCTGAGCGAGGGCGTTGCAGAAGCCCAGCGAGGTTGGTTTGGTCCTGCAGACAAACAGCTCCTTGTGGGAGGTGCTCAGTGGCACTGGATCCCTGGGAGCTGGTGTTGCCTGCTGGTGTCCCTGAGGGAGTTCCAAGGAGTGAGTGGGGAGCCGAGTGTTGCAGGGCTGAGCTGGGCTTGTGCCACAGCAGCAGCTGAGCCTGGACTTGCTGCCAGGCCCAGCACTGGAGTCCTGCAGTCCTGTTTTTAACTGGTCCATTTACTCTTGATTCCAGGCTAATCTAGATGAAAGCCAGATGAGTTCACCTACATTCCTTAGAGCTTTAATGACAGCAGTTTGTAAAGCAGCTATTATAGGTGAGTAACTTGAAGTGTAAACACCACACAAACCAAACCTGCAAAGAAATATTTGGTATTTTTGAGGTTTATATCACATTTCCCTGGCCAAGGCTGTGTTTTGTCACACACTAAGGCTTTTCCGTCATTTGGGGTTGTGCCCAAGAGCAGGGTGCCCCTTCCCTTAGTGACCCTGGTGTGTCCCAGTGCCCTTGTGTGAGCAGAGGTCTCAGACAGCACTGGGTCAAGCCAGGTTGTTCATTGATTTTCTTAACGAAAAAGGTGGAAATGACTGAGATCATCAAGGCAATTAACATTTCCATTCCTGTGTCGCCAAAGATGCGTGGGCACCAGCGTGGGCAGCAGGAAGAAGCCAGTCTGGGGCTCAGGCTTGTAAGAGTTTTATATACAAAGTTTCAGTTTTGGAAAGATGGTTTATGTGAATTGCCTGACTGTGCAGCTGGAAACACAGGGGAGGGAGGGCTCCCAAGTCAGACACGTGAGCCTGGAGCCCTCGGCAGGGGTTGAGTAAAGCACTGCAGCCAGAAACATCTGCTCACTTCACCTGGTTTTCTTTAACTTTACTGTTGGCATCTGGCACAGCAAAAAGTGATGCTTATAAAGGGTCTGGTTCTGCTCTGAGCTGTGATTTGAGGGAGAGAATGGGCTGGATTCCACCGTGTGAGGGAGAGGAGGGACAGGCCAGCTCCTTCCTCTCTCTGGGAACAAAACCTTGCTGGTGCCACCTACTGTTAACAGAGACACGACACAGGACTTCATTTCCAAGGCTTAAGGGTTCCCTGTTGTGTAAGGAAAATGATCCTCTGGTTTAAATTTTGGCCTTGCCTATAACTGAGTTTTTTACTTTTGTTTTCAAAATATCACTTAATAGTTGCATGATCTAGTGAAAGCTGCTGAATAATTCATCCTCGTGGCTGATGGATTTCTAATGCATATTTTTATATATTTGCTATTTCCTATATCATGTGCAACTTATGATTCTGTTTCTGCCCTGGTATTTTTAGAAAAAAAAAAATTTCTAAAAACCTTTTTAACGTAGTTGCCTCTGGAGACACCATTTGCACTTCAGAGTAAGGTTGTGCTGCTTCTGCTTGTGTTAGAGCTGGGGTGACTGCATGCAGTGGGAACTGTAAGGACCAAGGCTTTCAGAAATAGCCATTAACCAAAAATACCTCCTGTTGTTTCTCATCCTCCTTTTATCTCCACTCTAAACTGTGTTTGTGATTGCTGTTTGCATTAGTAAAGGCAGTCAAAGACCTGTCCCTGTTGCCAAGCTGACCCTGCTTTCTCCTCTTCCCCTCAGCGGACTCTTCCAGCTTCCGAGTGGACACTGCTGTTATCAAACAGAGGGTGCCCATCTTACTCAAGTACCTGGACTCAGACACAGAGAAGGAACTACAAGCACTTTATGCACTACAAGCATCAATAGTAAAACTTGATCAACCTCCTAGTAAGTGTTGCCTCTGTGCTGGGGATTTGAGCCTACGTAAGGGCAGGGGGGTTCTGTGGGAGATGGGGAGAGGATGTACTTGTCCTTACCTCTGTAGGTAGCAGGTGAGAGAAGCTGGTGTGGGTGGGTTCAGCTTGTCCAGATCCCAGATTTTTAGAGCAGCTCAAGTTCCCAAATGCTTGGCCAGAGGCCGGCTCTTCTTTTGGTTGCTCCTGCGAGCAGCCACACAGAAGGGAGGACAAACCTCTGTTGATAAAAAGAGAGGAAAAAAAGAGCAGTAAAAAATAATCTGTTGAGTTTGCAGTACCTGGGGGCATGTGAGAGCATGGGTGTTGTTATTGCATTGCTACTCCACAGATGTCTGTGGGCTTGGAGGGAATAAAATGAATTGGTCAGCTGATGAGTTTTCTCCCAGAGATGCTACAGAAAACCCTTGCAGGACAAGAGGCAAGGGAGTAACCAAAGAAGCAGGGATTCCCAGGGAATCTGCAGCACAAAATCCAGGAGTGCCTCAAAACATCCAACATGATCATCCTTAGTGCCCTTTATGACATTAGCTGGGCATTATCTTTCCTGATGAGCCGCAAAAATCCGGGGTTGGAGGGAATCCAGACATGTGGTACAGAGGAGATGGGCTGCTGTGGGTCCTGCTTGCCAGCCAGTCTCTAGATAACATATTCCCACAGCTGCTTTCCCAGCTTTCCCTCTCCTCAGACAGTGTCAGAGGGGTCAGTTTTCCCCCTCACCTGAGTGTGAGCAGCCAGAAGCAATAACTGAGTGAGAGCCCTGCGTTTTCCTTGTCTCTCCACCTCCCGTGCCAAGAGGTCACGTTAATCCCCTTATCTGCAGCCAGGGCTGACAGATGTTCCCTGCCTTTATTCCATTACTGCAGATTTGTTGCGGATGTTCTTTGATTGCCTGTATGACGAGGAGGTCATTTCAGAGGATGCCTTCTACAAGTGGGAAAGCAGCAAGGACCCGGCGGAGCAGAACGGCAAAGGAGTAGCGCTGAAATCTGTCACGGCGTTCTTCACGTGGCTACGGGAGGCCGAAGAGGAGTCAGAGGATAATTAAAACTTAAAATACAGATTTAAAACAAACAAACAAAAAAGAAACAATTTAAGTATTTTTTTAAAAAGTTTCACGTCTTCGCCAATCACAGTGCAGCAAGGCCAATTCTCTCTCGCAGACCCCCTTGCCCCACACACGCACGAGTGGGAGAGGTAAAACCCGATAAACACCAAGGTGATCATGGAGGCAAAAAGGTACTTGAAAACAAACCCACAAAAGTAAACTTCAAACCTGAGGGCGGGAGCACTAAACCAAAATACATGTATTATTTATAGAAAATATTTTCTGTTTTAATCTTTTTCTTTTCTTTTTAAACAAGGACTCATACTTAGGAAAACATACAGCGAAACAGATCTGTTTAGCAAAAACAAGTTGAACACTTTTAATTTATTATTTTAAGGACTGCAAATGCCAGTGTAATTTTTAAATTTGCAGTTTCTGTAAACAAATTGTATAATAGAACAAAAGCAGAGAAATAAATTTCCCTCCCCTTCATACGCACCTCAGTTTTGTTTCAAAGCATGATAAATCAACAAAACTTTGAAGGGGGTTGGGGTGAGCTAGATGAGGACAAGATCAATTTTTTTTTTATTATCATCAGATTTTTCTGCCTGCCTCTCAGCTTGCTACAGAAATTTAAAAAGAAAATAGTAATCAAACCATACATAACCTTGGATCGGAAGAAAAATGCATTTGAGAAAACCGCTGTGGACCAGAGTGCTCCGAAAATAACTCATTGAAAACCGTGCTACCCCGGGGAAAAAAGTACTAGTGATACTTTGAGAACCTTTAGAGCAACTTTAAGGCTTGTAAATACATAGAACAAATATTTAAAAGAAAAAAAAAAAAAAAAAGAAAGAAATTGACTCAATACTATTTCTTTTCACTTTCAAAATATAAAGAACAAAATAAAGACAAACATTGCAAGTTTAAAAGAAAGTAAAACGACTTCTCCTTTGACAGCTGCTGAATGTGTGCACCATCCTGAGCGGTGCTGGCTTCCTTGGCATGCCGTAGGTCCTCGGGCCCAAATTGTGTACATATAGTGTGTGTCTGTATGTGTGACTACCAAAAATGAAGGGTGAGAGCAATTGTTTAAAAAAAAAGGAAAAAAAAAACCGAAAAAAGGGGATGCTGTTGTGCCGAGAAGCTCCCTGGCCAAGGAGCAGCCAGTGGCTGCGGGGCCGAGCGGGAGCAGCTGGTTCCCGAGGCTGGGACGTGACCTCAGGGTGGATGGAGCCCGACCCCAGCTGGGTCCCTCCAGCCGTGTGGCAGCCGTGTCTCGTGTCACCTGCACCACTGGGGACTTGTGACCCTGGCAGCTCCGGAGGCCGCAGCTGGGAGAGCCGAGATCAGCGCAGCGCCAGGAAGGGCGCAGGACGGAGGAGCAGCGCTGCCCGCAGTGCCCGCCTGGCAGTGCCCCAGTGCCGGTGCCAGCGCAGCCAGGACACGGCCACAGCCATGGGAGCCCTTCCCGTGGCCAGCGGGACCCGGGCTGCTGCTCCAGAGGCAGCTGCTGCTGAGGACGGGAAGGCCCTCGCGTGTCTCTGCAGCCACCCGAGATGACTGCTGGCTCTCACTGGAGAAGCGCCTGCCATCAAGGACTCTGCAAAGCTGGGGCAGCCCTGAAATGTGCTTTGTGAACTGTGGGCCATGGACCGTGAGTAACCTGTGGAGCATTTGCTGGGGGTGTCTGCAGCACTGACTGCTCACATGATGCTGTCTTTTTCTTTCCAGCTGCTAAATCACTTCTTAAAAAAAAACAAAAAACACAACAACAAAAAAACAACAACAAAAAGAAACAAAAAAAAAAGGGAAGAAAGGCTACAAATACATTACTTTCCTAATCTTACTTTTACATGTGAACAATTGCTGTACTTGCCTGAGGATGTGATTTGATCACCACGGGGAAGGGAGGAGGTGCCTGGTTGTGGCCAGAGGGGAGAGGTCCATGAGACACTTTCCCTGTTAACATGTTCCACCCCATGAATCTGAGCTAGAGAATCCATGGCCTAAAACACTAGAGCATTGTTTGGTTATTTTTTTTTTAGTAACAATAAAACACTTTTCTCTGATGTTTTGTTAAAAAAAAAGAAAAAATAAGAAAAAACATTCTCACCGTTCCTGTATGCTGATGTATCTGCATGTACCACATCCAGTGATGCCTCGGCCTCGCCGTTGGGCCCAGAGGTTTGGATGGGCTCTCAGGGTCTCCAAAAGGTCTGTCCCCACAGAACCCCCACCCAGCAGGGCTCCAGGGGTGTCTGCTACACCTCTGCAGAAAGTCGTGGGGGTGCTCTCCTTCCAAAAGGCATTTTTTGAGCAGTGCATGGTGGTTTGTAGCAGTTAAATAGTTACATTAAATGGATGCCAGTTTGTATGTAAATAAGGGTAAATATTGCCAAGTTGCTGTGGGCAAATGATGGAATTCCTCTCAGGGTGGGCAGTGTCAGCCTGCTGGGAAACTGAGTGTGCAACAGCAGAGCCTGCAAGGACTGATTTCTCTCTCATTGCCTTGGATTGGAAAGGACAGACTTGCTGCAGAGCCCTTGAACAGCCCTGGGAATCCAGTGTGTCAGGGCTGGGAAATCTCTCTAGGGAGCTTGACCCTTCTGGCTGAAAGAGTTGGAAAAGCACTGGCTGGAGGGAATGGGGATTGCCAGCAGGTGGGTAGAGGTGAGCTGAGAGAATCTTTCCCCTTTTTGTTGGAGCTTTAATGACGTTCCAGGGGGTGAGAACTTGCCCTGTTAGTGTCCTGCAAAGGCCAGGGAGGGACTTATCAGAGATTTTCACGAGGGGTTTTTCAGAATTACCCAAAGCTGGATTTGCAGCGTGGCAGGTTTTGGCTTCCCTGAAGTTAAACCAGTTCAGCTGCACGCTGGATGCTGTGAGCAGTTTATGCACAAGGCCTTGAGGTCTCCAGTTGTGGGTGCATCACCTGAAGTTTCAGCTTCCCAACAGTGTCACTGCAAGGAGCAGAACTCCTGACTCCTTCCTCTGCTCCTCTTGTGTTCTGTGCCATGCATTTACTGCACCCAGCTGCTTCCCAGTTTCCTTCTAGATCAGCACAGGCTTGCAGGTGGTTGTGGCTCCTCAGGATACAGCTCATGAAAGATCTTTGGAACCGGTTTCTTGTGAAGGGTATTAAAATACAAAAACCCTGCAAGGTATATGAATAGAAAAGGGAAGTATTAATTAAAACAGGTTCCCATGGAATGTGATTTGCAGGAGCCTCATTTTGTGTAAGTAAGGAGAGATGAGCTGTGGTCACTGGCCCAACACTGATTTACAGCAACGCCTCAGCAGGGAGGGCAGCAGGGTTACACCAAGAATACTGCAAGTTATGCTGAGGGTTGTTTTTTTTCCCCCAGTCTTGATCCTATTGAAAACTTCTTGTGTGCAGGCTTCTGACTGTGGCAGGGGATTAACAGCTCAGCACAGAAGAGTGGCATTGGAACCATTTCTGCTGCTGGGAACCCTTCTTTTCCCAAGGTTGGGGCACTGTCAGAAGCACAGGCAAGGAGCAGATGCATTGCTTACATCCCTCTTTATTACTGAGAATGTCCCCTAACCTGAAGCCACCAAGCAGCACATTTTCAGGCCAGGTGTCTGCCGAAGGCTGGTTCATTTCTAGGAAAGGGTTTTCAGAACAGAATCAGCCATTTCTGGGAATGAGGTCAGGAAATACACTGATCCTGGATGCTGTGCTCTCTGCTTGTGTCAACATGTTCAGGTCTTGCCTTATTTTCCTAAAAAACCTCAGGTCCTGGAGCAGATCTTGGTGTATGGAAATGTCTTTTCATAGAATCCTAGAATGTGCTGGGTTGGAAGGGACCCATCAGCAGCATGGAGTCCAGCTCCTGGGGTTTTTTGCCTGGAATCAGCCCTCCCTGGTGCAGGACGTGATAGCCCACGTGGCAGGAGAGGCTCAGGAGAAGGGATTCCTCTGCAGGGATGGCTTTTAGTGTGCACAAGGCATGTTTAGGCCAGTAGTAACTTAGATCAGTTGTTGCTGTGACCCACAGAGCTTTTGTTTCAACCCTATATGTTGTTTTTACTGATAAAGGAAAAACAGGGTCTCTCAAAAGTCCCCTTAACTTGCTAAGCTTTCTGTAAATTCAAAGCCAATTGCAGATGTTGGCATCTCATTGCCAGAGGGTGGCTGGAATTGTTCTGCTTCATTTGGTCCCACAATGAGTTGCTGACCCCCTAGTTGCTTTGTCAGAAGTGTCCTGGCAGAGCAGAAAAGCTGTTAGCTAGGCCTGCATGCTGTATGCTTTCACAGATTCTAGAGGGTTTAACTCTGGGGGCATGAAGCTCAAAATCAGACCTCCCCAGAATGCTTTTGTGCCCTTGCTGTATGCTTTCACAGATTCTAGAGGTTTAACTCTGGGGAGTTAAACCCTCTAGAAGGGTTTAACTCCCCAGAGTTAAACCCTCTAGAAGCTCAAAATCAGACCTCCCCAGAATGCTTTTGTGCCCTTAGAGCCAACAGCCCTGGCCCTGAGGCACTGAAGCACCTGTAGAGAGCTGGCTGTGCCTGCAGGTCATATGTGAGGGTGAGATGCTGCCTGGTTGGAGTTGGGCCAGGAATGCTGGGCTCTACCTGGGGGTGAGTCCACTGGGAGGTGTTTGGGCTGGCAAGTGCTCTGAGCTCCTGCTTCTCCCAGTCAGGCTGGGAGCTGGAACTTGGCCTTTCTGCTCTTTGGAAGGTGTTGGCCTGGAAGCTGCCAGCTGAGCAGTGTTTGAAGCCAAGCAGCACCAGCAGGAGCCTGAGCTCTTCACACACCACTGGCTTTTCATGATGTGCCAGCCCTGAGGTCTGCACAAGGCCCCACACGCTGACAGAAACTCCAGGTTTGCTGTGCCTGGGGCCACGTGCAACCTGCAACAACTGTAGGGTGGAGCTTGGGGACCAGGAGGCTTCAGCCCAGAGGATCCTGCTTGGCTTTCTACAGATAGACAACCTGCAAGCAGCCCTTGGAGGAAAACCAGCAATGGGCAAAGAACAGCAGCAAGAGATTGATTAACTCAGCTTCCAGCAGCGTGGCTAAATCACAATATCCAAGGAAACCTCAGGTTTTCTACCCTTGTATTTTTCAAGGGGCTCCATTTGCCACCTTTGGTGAAGTATTGTGGATCTGCTGTTTGCTGAAATAACTCCTGCTTCTTTCAGTGCTGCTGTAGGGATGCTGACTGTGGAAAGCTTTGTCATGTGGCACCAGCTTCTCTTTCTTGTTTCCAGCTGCTAAATTGTGCTGAAACGGCAACAGGAATAAAAGCAGCTCCCACTCCATTCAGTCCTTTCCATAGGGGAATTTGTCCAAGTTGCTGGCCCAGCTGCAGGGATGGATATGCTGTGGCTGCAAATGGGAAAGAGGGGAGTAGGTGTGGGGAGGGCAATAGATGCTGTTGGTTGGGAAATGTTGGTGTTACTGAGAGAGGGGAGAGAGCAGTGAAGCTCTTGACTGTCCTGTTGCAGCCTCCTGCAAGAAGCAATGACAGATGTTACTATAAGGCAGAGTTTTACTAAGCTCCCAGGGTACAAAGCATCAGTGAGGGGAGCAGAGCCCTGTTAGAAGTGGTTTATCACAGGGTTTTGGAGAACAGCTGGAAAGGAGCTGCAAAGATCGTCTTGGCAGATGCAGCTGCTGTGTTCAGGTCTCACCTGTGAAGGGAAATGGGTCATTTCAGCATGCAGGGTGAGCTGTTCTGAAATACCACCTGGTGTGAATGCTCTGTGACATTACAGATGGCATGAAGTGGATAATCCATTGGTCCTGGCCATTTCCCACTCGTGTGAGAGTGCAGAATCACTCCTGTGAAGGGAGCAGGCACTTGGCACCACCACTGCACAAATTC